TGAAGGGCATCTCGGCTCTTTCCACAGTTTGGCTATTGCGGACATTGCTGCTATGAACAATGGGGTGCATATGGCCCTTCTTTTCACTACATCTGTGTCTTTGGGGTAAATACCCAGTAGTACTAAGCACCTTTCTCATATGTCAAATGCGAATGACAGTACTAGCCATATAGGATCTGAGATAAGATACGGAATCAGGCTGATATATAACAGATACTTAATAAATAGTAGCTGCTGTCATAAGATGTAATAATGATAATTTAATCAGTACTAGCTAGTTTAATTATTGGCCCAATGTCACACTGCAATGTCAGTCATGACAATGGGCTTGTTCCTCAGATGAGCCCCCACATAAATTGTTAGCAGCACCCTATTTCAAGGTCACAGATGACTCCTCTCCTCCTTGAGAGCCAGCTTGCACATTTAGTTGATACCAGCTGCAGTGATTTCTACATAAAAAAAAGCCAGTGGAAGATTTTATTGGTACCATATGGAAAAAAATTCAAAGTTCCTTCCCTGAGGTCACATTCATATATTGTCTTTCCTTGACATTTCCCTGCAATTACCCTCGTTGAGGCCATTATCCTCCCTATCTGACACATCCCAAACTTGTCTCCAGCCTCTGGTGCTTTAACGAGCCTGCTTCGTTGTGACCCACTGCGTGTGGAGTCTATTATAGATTCCTACGCACAGACTCCATGGTGGCCTCAGGCTGCTCTTTACCTCCACTGAGGTCCCCTAGCGTTTCCTCTCCCAATCTATTCTTCAGCCACACTGGGCCACCTGCAGTTTTTATACCTGCTCTGCCTTTCTCAACCGCTCCTCTTTACTTCTGCTACCAGTCTGGAATGCCCTTCTTATTCTTGATTTCCATCCACATCCTTCACCAAGCATCTCAAATGATTCCCAACCTTGAAACCTCTCAATTTCTCATAGATGAGTGCTCTTAAGTGCTGCTCCCCCAGCTTCCCCAACAAGCTCATGTCTTGTCCCCAGACTGGGAAGATTCTCCATGTTCTCAGACTCAACATTGCCATGGTCCCGCTCTACCACACCTCGGTCCGATAGCGAGGCTTGATCTTACCCCCAAGAATCAATCCTCCAACAACACTGTTCAGATCCAGCAGACACCAGACACTGGTCTCTTGGCCTGTGTCTGAGTCCCTGCTGGGTCTCCAGACTGGTTCCTCGGTTCCTCTGTGAGTGGAACCCTGCTCTGCTTTTGGCAAAGCCCACTCTACCGAAGATGCTCCTCACTTAGAACCTTGCTTCTGAACTATAGCCTGGTGGCTAGCATCATGTTCCCCGTGGACAGATTTTAATGCTGCCTGTCTGTGTATGTCTCTAACTATCCCTTGCTCCTGACAGCCCCTGTGACAACCTGTTAGGATACCTCATCACCCCATGTTGGGGCTCCTTGACTCCAGATGCTCCTGCCCTGGGCTGCCCCCAGACCTCCACCTGGGTCTGCTCCTGGTGATAGCTTTTCAAGACTCATGTGGGAAGGTGTTGTTTCAGAGGCTGTTCTATCCCCTACTTTAGTTGTGTCTCAAATGGAAGACCTCTTCCGTGAAGCCTTACCGGTTCTCCCGAGTTGGAAATCATCTCTTCCTCTGAGCGTCCACAATATAGTCTCTACTGCACTCTGATAGGCCCTCCCACTTTCTATCTTAAGTAAGTTATTTTTTTTTTAAAGATTTTATTTATTTATTTGAGAGACAGAATGAGATAGAGAGAGAGAGCATGAGAGGGGGGAGGGTCAGGAGGAGAAGCAGACTCTCCGCTGAGCAGGGAACCCGATGTGGGACTCGATCCCGGGACTCCAGGATCATGACCTGAGCCGAAGGCAGTCGCTCAACCAACTGAGCCACCCAGGTGCCCTTAAGTAAGTTATTTATATGTGACTTACCTCCCTACCGTGTGGCAAAGTCCTTGAAAGCAAGAACCACATCCTTCACTACTGTATAATAAACATGCAGCAAAAAACTGATGAATTGATTGTATCTGGCTATCTATTTATACTATTTTGATAGGTTGGTTTTTGGTTTTGTTTTTTACTTTCTTCCGTCTTAATAGAATCTTAGGATATTAGAGCTAAAAAAAAAAAAAAAAAAGAGCCTGAGAACATTTTCAATTCAATATCCCATTTTATAGATGCAGAAACTAAGGTCCTGAGAATGAAAGACTGGACTAAGGTGTATGCGCTAGATGCAGTCAATCCTGATGTATTCAACCCAGCACTGCAGTCTTGGAGCTGGGATAGAGAGAAGGACGCTATGGCTGTTCTGGAATGTTGCCTCTGAGCACTCCCTGTGGAGATTAGGCTGGCTCCAAATGAACTTGGCGTGATGGGGACTTAGAGCCTGTGGCGCTCTGGTACTCAGCACCTAACAGCATCTTGCCCACTGGTTGGAGTGAGGGCAGTGAGGCACGGAAGCTGTCCTGCTCAGGAAAGGCAGCGGAAGAACCCTCGAGAACCAATCAGTGTAACCATCAGGATCCTGACTAAATAGGAATAAATTGGAAAGAGCTGGCCCATATTTTCATTTCATCCCCTCTTCTCTACCCCAAAACAAACAAAACACAACCTACAGATAAACACAGGTTGTTAAAGATGGGGGACTGAATGTGTGCATTTTTAGTCCCACTCTCTCCCCAAACCTTACTAAGATGACAGTATAAGGGAAATGTTTATAATCTCACGAGGACAAATACATCAGGAAAATAAATTTAGTGCATGAAACATTTTGGGGTAGCGAAGTGGATGGAGGGGTGGTCCTTCAGCAGAGCCGAGAGACAGTTTGGCTGCCTGCAAGGGGAAAGACAAGAATCAGACTGTGTTTCACTAGAAAACCCCCTACAGGCATCTCTGAATGTAGGGGTGAGGGGCAAGCCTGGAAGCAAGAGGAATGTTTGGAAGTTTATTTTAGGAGCTAACTAGATCCCAGGTCCTCCCACCACAACAGGAGGCTTTCCACTGCAGAACACACACACACACACACACACACACACGGAACCAGAACAACTCCAAGTTCAAAGATACCAGTCACACTCGGACACTGTGCTGATAATGGAGAGGAAAGTTAAATGAGAGCCCCTATACTCAGCCTTCGGACCTCCAACCCCCTCCTCTCTCACCTCCCTGAACTGAGGCTTAGGCACTAATAGCCTAGGCAGGACCCATAAAGATTCCTCTCTGGGGAAAGTGGGGTGTGCCAGCGAAGACACCCAGATACTGTCATTAGAAGATTAGGGGACCCCTCAGTGAAAAAGCAGGGTCCACAGGACAACCAAAAGGAAGCTGCCATAGACACACAGGTTCCAGTCAGCTTCTTAGGCCTCCCTGTTAAATAGGAAGATCAACCACAAATCACCAAACATTTGAGAAAAGCTTCTCACATCACAAACAGATCCCAGAACAAAGAGGATAAAGGAAATCAGGACAATGCAGGAAGCAAATTAATACTTTAAAAAACTATAATTAGTGTCCTAGGAAAGATTAGATAAGTTTCTGCCCATATGAAAAAAAATATATATTATTTCAAGAAGCGATCGAAATATAAGAACGAGTCTGTGGAAAATTAAAATTTTAAGTTCTATTTTAAAAGTAACAGGAATCTACCACAATTGAGAGCACAAATACAGAGTTGGAAAACAGGAGAAAATGGCTAATAGAACAAAAGGATAAAACAAAGCGGTCCATTATCCAGCTAATAGAGTTTCGAGAACAAGGAAATAGAGGAGACAAAGAATTTTATTTATTAGTAAAAATAATATAAAAAAATCCCAGAACTAAAGGGGTGATTTTCAAGGCTGAGTGTCCAGATTGGTAAAAAAGTACCACAGATAAGAAGTTCCTAAAATTTTCCAGAGAGGAGGGGCAAAAAGCAGGTCACTGATCCTAAGTCCAGGAATCAGAATGGCCTGAGACTTCTTAAAGGCAACTGTACAAACTAGAAAACAAAGGCAAAGGGGTTTTCAGCCTAGAATCCAGCCAACTTATTCATCAAGTGTGAGGGAAGAAAAAAGGGCAGTTTCTCAAAAAGAGGGGAGAAAAGGAGACTTTTGCCTCACATGCATGCTTTCTCTCTTCTACAACAGAACAAAAAAGTCATAGAACAGAGGAAACTAAGGTCCAGCAAGAAAATTTGCAGGGTAAATGTGAAGGTAACTCCAAGGAGGACAGCTCTGCCGAGAGCCCAGAGGACAAGCGCCCACACTGGCTCCAGGAGGAGAGCGTCCAAGAAAAAAACCTGTTACGTGTTAGATCAGCTGATCTATTTAACCCCAGTGATAGAAGCGCCACGATTCTGTCAAAGGGTTGAGATATATAAAAAATGAAGCAAATGGGGAAAATAAAAGAGGTGTTTATTATTCTCACTCAAGGGGAAAAAAAACCATAATCACAGCATTTGAGTAACTCAGCTGCAAGTAGTAGTCATAGTAATGTAAATCTGCACTATTGATTTATCTGAAAATTGTGATAACTGTCAGAGGATGTGGGAACAAATTTTTCAATGTGTAGAGCTGGTGGGGTTTGGGCTGGTACTGAGTCAGTCTAAGAGAGTTAAATCCTCACCTCTCCCAGTAGGGAGTCAGGAGATTTCCCCCAAGATTGAAAAAAATCAATGCGCAGCAGTATACAGAGTGTGTAGAAACATGGCGGTAAATACCAGAAGAAACGTGTAGACGCCTGGCATGTGGGGACGAGACTGTCTTTCACTATAAACCTTGTTCTGTATCTCAGTGTTTTAGCCATAGAATGTGCCCTTTGATAGAAATAAAAACCAATTTTTTTAAATCTTTAAATGTTAGTGTCTTGTTTGTCTTGTGTGTTTCTCGTCTGATATAGAAGGTAGTTTCCCACAGGTGCGGTCACAGATGGCCCTGATCCCACAGACTTTGCAGGTGAGCACTGAGGACAGAAGACAAGGGAAGACAAGATGGAGTCCTACATCCTGTAGGCAGAACTGCAGAGCCGGCTGGACTTGTTAGTGTGGTCGTAGAAGAGAAAGCAAGGAACTGGATGGATGGCTTGGAGGACGAGGTATGAAATCAAGATTTCTGTTCTGGCCAACACAAGTTCGAGATGCCTATGAAAATCCAAACAGATATGCCGACTGGGTAGGGACATAGAGTAGTCAATAAAGACATGAGGGCTTGCAAGGGACAATTTGGGACAGACAGGCATACAGATTAAGTACAGAGAAAGATGTGCCTTTCCAACGCCACACCATCTCTGTTCTCCAGAAAAAATGATTTGGGGAGTGAGGTACCTATTTTCCCATTAAATATGAAAAACAGCCTCAAATATCCAGAAAATGCCAGAAGTTAGCCCAGGATTCTAATTGTCCTAATCCAACTAAAGGAAATACAAGAATTCTTTCCACAGAAGTCTTCTGAGGTTTGACCCAACTGCAGTCTACCGAATTTATAGAAACTTAGTGGGAAGTTATAGGGCATTTGCATTACAAAACCAATATGGGGGACCCCATTTCCTACCTTTGTCATCCGGGCTTTACGCAAATAGGTAAGAAGGTCTCCTCCTTCCATCAGTTCCAGGATAATGTATTGGGGTTCGTTCAGCAGACAAACTCCAAGCTGCTTCAGAATGTTGGGATGGTTAAACTTGCTACAAGGTGGAAAGAGACAGGCAGGATGACACGACAGCAACAGGCGCCCTGGCTGAGGGCCTTCGGGAAATAGAGCAATTCTTTATCTCCAGTTTCCTTCAAAACTCCTGTTTGCGGTGGGCGGGGTGGGGGGGGTTGTTTTTCTCTAATAAATGCAAGTCTCCTTTTCCAAGTACCAGTCCCTGTGCTTGCCTTAGAGAGATGATATGGCAACCCCTAGTGGCCAGTGCATATGGCTGTAATAGGTGATCTTCAGAAGAAACGTTCACAGGAAGGATTTTATGTTTTGGTAAAGAAAGTAATCTTAACCACTATCCTTCAAAAGATATTTGAAGGCGTTACACTTTCAGTCATCACAAGTATGTAATATTATTCTCTTCCTTTTGGAGAAACAATTCAGACACGCAGGTTTGGCTTCCACCATTTTCTCAAGACATCAAACCAAGGAAACCCCGATCAAATGATTAGAATCCTCAGCTGGGACCGCCCCCCCCCTCGGGACCACCGTCTCAGGCCCTCCCTTTAAGATGCCTCTGAGCAGTTTTCTTGACCAGCAACTGACTCTAACCTTGAAGATAAGTTTACTAAGACAGAGGATATTTTCATTGACATCCCTGTACTTAGAGCTCTCTCCCTTAATCCAGATATTCGAGCCACGATCACACATTTAGAAGAACATACGCATGTTTAAAGCTGAACAGCCTCAGATGTCACTTGCGAAACACGCTCCTTATTGAAGGTCAAAAAAATGAAGAACTTTTGCCTGAGGACTGCCTGTTGGGAGACTGGTTTCTATAGAACACTTGTTACCACAGACATATTTATGTCTAAACTTCAGCCATGTTTGTTTGGGGCATGACCTGTGATGTCAGGTCATTTTGAATGTTAACAATTTACCAATCAGATATAAAAGCTTTCTACTCCTATCAAGGGAAAATGAAGCCAGAGCTGCCCCAATACCTCATCAGATGTGCCTCTTTCAGGAACTCAATCTTCTCCTGGTCTGTGGAGCCCTTCTTCAAAGTCTAGACAATACAAAATAAGCCAGCAATCAGTATAGCAGACATTCTGTGAGCTCAGTGGGTTAATGGAGACAATCTTTAATTTGTTTTGTAATATTCACTCTGAAAGCTGGAAATAGATCATGGCTAATACACGTGCATGTGCTCTGTAAACTCATTCAAAACTTAGCCTGTATTAGAACTAGTGTCCAAGTGGGAAAGCCTGAAAGACAAAAGACCTAGTAACATCTACACAAATTCCCTCCAAAAATGTAGACATTTTAAAAAGAACAAATTTGGTGTGTAGGCCAGTTTCTTAATTTTCAAAGTTTTCTACCCAATATCTGTTTCCCCCGGCTTCCCTGCTAATGATCCCCTAATTTGTCTCTTAGAGGCAAGATGCCCAGTCCCAGACAATTGGTCATAATGAATCAGGAAAACTGTGTTTTGTAATTCTCCAGCCTCCCTTGCAAATAGGGGTGGTCATCTGTGTCAATTCTGGTCAATGCGGTGTAAGGGGAAAACTGCTGAAGGGAAGAGAAGCTTGTGGAAAACTTTCACTTTTTTGAACATATACACCTAACATCATTCCTTCCCCCTTGCCCTGACCTGAATGAAGATGTAACGCCTGAGCTTTGGCAACCATCTTGGGATCATGAGGCAACACACATGTACAAAGTCAAGAGAGTTTCAGATATACTGGCTCTGACCTAACACAGTACTGCACCAAAAACCCGCAGTCCTCTCGTTATGTGAGAAAAATAAACACTTGTTTACACCAGGTGAGGCTAGAGTAGTTTAAAGCACTTTTAGATTGCATCATTTGGCAGCGGAGAGGATTTTGCCAACCTTTCTGGTTGTATAGCCCTCTCTCAAAGCAACAAATTCCTAACAAGCAGTGGTCAGGATGTTGCCCAGTTACATAAAAGATTCATCATCCCTCGATGAAAAGGTTTTAGACAAATATGAAAGTCTACCCAGCACTTCCTTAAAACTACATTCAATATACCATGTGAATAACTGTGTCCTACCGGGGGTCAGCAAACTCTAGCTTGTAGACCAGCCTGCAACTTTTTTTGTCCAGCTTGAGCTCTGAAAATAGTTGTTCAGCTTTAACTTTGTGTTTTTCCAGCTTTCCTGAGGTATAAGTGACACGTTACATTTTCAAACGGCTGGACAAAAGTCGAAAAGAGGGTATTTCTTAACACGTGAAAATGATATGAAATTCACATTTCAATTTTCATAAATAGAGTTCACATATGGACTAGGGCTGTTTCACACTGCGAAGGCTGAGTTGCATCAGCGGCAACTGCCCTCATACCTGAGACATGGAGAACGTGCTTTCCACCCCGGGTCCTCTTATAGTATATTCAAAGGGAAAAACCACCTGCCGAGTCTTAGCTAATCAGTTACCTTAGTGGTAACTATGAATTACAGAGCTTACGGAAGAAATGGAAGAAACATTGTCATTTCTGTTGTCATGCATGGACTCCCACTTTCAGCTGTCTTTTCAATTAAAATCACTCATATGTTACTACAGTTTTATCCATGTAAATTCATGTAAATGTGCTGACCCGACATGTCAAGGAATTAAAAGATCTGCATTACCTTCACTGCTACTTTGGTTTCTCCGCTTCCAGCTCCTAAGATGTCCACTGCTGCCCCTTCATACACTTCTCCAAAGGCCCCACTTCCCAACAAGAGGCGCAGAGTCAGTTTTTCCCGAGGGAAGGCAGGAAGACATTCAATCTCCTCTTGGGTTGGAAGAGTACTGGAAAATAGTATTTTTGGTGTCCCAAAATACATTGGTTTACAAGTTGGTGTCGGGAGTTAGTGTTTGAGAAAGAGTATGAGAAAGAGAAATCTCATGATTTTGCAACACTGTTCTATGTAATATAGTGGCAGGGAATCTTGTGTTTCTATTCCTTCCCTATTCCACCTTCCAAATATTCCTTCCCTATTCCAAAACACAGAGAGCATATCACGTCACTTTTACCATAATCTTGATAGAAACATGCCTGTGTGTGCATTGACTCAGGAGTTTTTACTGTAGCTTGTTTTGTTAAAAAGTTGTGTTATTAATTTCTTCAGGTAATCAATTTATGTGAAAAGCTATTGCAAATTAGTAATAAATACATCTGGGTTTATAAGCCTAAAAACTTTCACTTTAACTATTTCACACACCTGATCCTTTGTGTAAAACAAAATTTAGTATGACTACAAAAATTAGCTCCTTCTCCATAACTTTTAGAAGCCAACTCTCACTTGGAATATTATGAGAGGGAAAAAATTGTCTAAATGCTTTGAGTTTTTAAAAGAGAATCTTGAATATCAAATGTGCTGAGTATTTTCTCAAGGAAAAGTCACCTCTGAATCACTAAATTAGATCACCCGTGTCTACTTCAAATCTGCCATTTCTATATCTCCGATTATAAATTTCAAGGCCTATGACTACATAATTTCTCTTAGCAAGAGGCCGTAATACAGTATCTTGCATAAACCGCAATATAGTGTCTTGCATAAAAAGACATTTAAATATTTTCTTTAATTATTTTGACTACATCGAAAACTCACAACATACTATATGTTGGCTAATTGAATTTTTTTTAAAAAATTATGATGACGGGCGCCTGGGTGGCTCAGTTGGTTAAGCGACTGCCTTCGGCTCAGGTCGTGATCCTGGAGTCCCGGGATCGAGTCCCGCATCGGGCTCCCTGCTCGGCAGGGAGTCTGCTTCTCCCTCTGACCCTCCTCCCTCTCATTCTCTCTCTCTCAAATAAATAAATAAAATCTTTAAAAAAAAAAAATTATGATGACAACATAAGTTCAAAACTCAACTATCCCAAAAAGCTTTTGTAGGCAATCACCATACAGCTTCTGAAAACAGACTCCGATGGACTTAACAGCCCAGGCAGGGGACCCTTGGAATTCCTCTCTTCTGGATGCTCCCAGTTGAACCAATCATGCTACCGTCTGTTCTTTTCCATTCAGGACTTACGTCCTTGTTTCGTTTACTTTATAACTATGCAATAAAACACTGGAACACAATGGAATTTTGCTTATTTTCCTTAGGATAGAATAACCACATAATTTGCCATCCATCTCAGGTCACATTTGAAAATGGAAGGGGATGATATTAATAATCATGCCAGAATAATGGGCATGGACCAAGACAATCGTGGGCAACACGGGACCCATGGGCACTCTCTTTATAGTTGCCCACTCTTCATCTAGGCGCCCTGTAGTGAGGGCCCAGGTTACATACTGTATGGCATAGCAGGCATTAGCCAGCCCTATTCCAGCTGCCAGACCGCGGAGCTCAGCCAACTCTTTGTCTTCGTTTATGAGACCCGTCAGCCCTTCCTTGGGAGTTTTTTGATTCCTTAATTTTCTGTGCCAGACTATAAAGAGAAAAGGACACAATTTACAAAACAAAACATTGCTTTCTTTTTTCATCAAGAAATGTTAACATTTTAAATGTTTATATATAAGAACACCATGGGTAGAATAACAGAATTTGATTGAAAAATGTGTCCATAGTAGAAAAACTAATTAAATCTTGGTACAAAGACTTATAAAAACACATAACTTAGAACACATCACTTCTTATTTCATGTCTCAAACCAAAGCTTCATGCATTTCTTATTGCTGTTATAAACAAGTTGAAGTATCTTAAAAGCAGAACTTATTTCTCAAAATCGCCCTTAACCTAGAGGCAACAGAAACCAAAACAAATTTGCATTATAATTATTACATAATTATTTGCATTATAATTAAATTGCAAATTTATTTCTGAGTCCAGATACGTCCAGGTTATACTCCTATAGTAGATCTGAGGAATGCTTTCAATTATAATGGCACACTTCGTTTTTTAAAATGCAGAGTACAAGAGTTTATATACATACTCAAGCATACAGAAAAACTATTGGAATGAAACCCACCAAATGTTAGTAGTGGTCTTCTCAGTTGTGAAATCATGGATGATTTATATTGTCTTCTTCATACAATGAGCAAATACTATTTTCACCCTCATGAAAATAAGTGATTTTTGGAAATTAAAATACAATTATGTCATAAGATCAACCATCTATACTAGAACATTGGTTCAAAAGTTGAAAACACCAAGGGTGTTTTGTAAGATGATCATTAAAATTTGAATTCTATTCCATTGTATATTCTATATCCAACAGGTTAGCGTTTTATTCAAGTGAAATTCCATCTGAGGGACCACGCAGGGAAAGATCTTAAATACTTTTGCTAATGCAGTTTTTCAAACCTGAAAAGCTGTCCCTACCCTTCTTCATTTCTTTAAAGGCCCAGCTCCCAGTGATGCCTTCCGAGACCCTGACGCTCTGCTGATCTCTCGGTTTTCAATGTCTAAGACCAAGTGTAGCTCTCTGTCCGCATTTCTATCGCAGTGTCCAGCACATGTCAGGTCCTCTTGCCTTTTATTTCTCACGATTTATATTTTCACACAGGTATGTCTTACCTCCCTCATTAACTGGCAAGCTGCCAAGGCCAGCAATTGAATATTCTGGCTTCATATTTCCCTCTGCTCCCGGCACGAGGCTAACATTGCATGTTACATGCGACCACTCACCAAAGCCAAGGCTGCCGATGTTTATTTTTAAATCACTGCTTCAATCTTATATTTATAAGTAGGACTGCTGAGAGCCCCCAGCACAATACAAATATGTTTAAACAATTGCTACTTTTCCTTATTTTAATAAACTCAATCTTTTCTCATGCACTCACCCACTCCTCCTAGTAAAACCACATGCACTGCTACTAAAAGCAAAGAAGCAGATTAGCTTAGCTGCACTAAAAAATTCATAAGTTCCAAATAGGATAAAGACCTTTAAATCCCGAGAAAGTCAGATATCCATAGGCTGTCTTGAGAGCACAATAGGTTGTCTGAAATTACCTCATGCTCATCCACTAGAGTTATGGGTTTGAACAACGGTGATGTACACGTAGGCAAGCAAAGGTCAGATGAAAGATTCTTCGTGTAATACTCCTTCCCAGTAGGAAAGCAGACAAGCAGTCAAGCCTGTATGCCAACTGCCAAATATATTACAGTCATACGTGTAATTCTGGAGGGGCTGGCTTAGTGGCCCAAGCATCAGCTGTGCAACGCTTAGACTCCCTGGAACCACAGGTTGAGATCCTGGCAGGGTCAGCTGAAATTTTTAGCTGTCCAAGTTAGCTAAAGGAGTTCCGTATATCGTCTGGGTGGAATCTATGAAAAGAAACCTCAATTCAAGCTTCAGTGTGCTCTCTGATAGTTTACAACTCCAATCAGTTTGGGGAAAGAATAAAGATTTAGACCACTTAGTAAAATAGTGGCTTTCTTTACCCCGAGAGAGTTTAGCTTTATGTTTGTAACTTTTCCTTAAACTTTCCTTTCTATATGAAAAAAACAGGCTACAATTTCCTAAATATGTCCTTGAGTATTCTTTTCTGGCAAGTATCATGTCTTTCTTTCTTTCTTTCTTTCTTTCTTTCTTTCTTTCTTTCTTTCTTTCTTTTTTAAGATTTTATTTATTTGAGAGAGAGAAAACACGAGAGAGGGGAGGGTCAGAGGGAGAAGCAGACTCCCTGCTGAGCGGGGAGCCCGATGCAGGACTCGATCCTGGGACTCCGGGATCATGACCTGAGCCGAAGGCAGACACTTAAATGAGTGAACCACCCAGGCGCCCTATCATATCTTTCTTATAATGCTTTCTTATTATGTCAGGGACTCATAATATCAGTAAGTGATAGGATGACCAAATACCTTATAATCCAAACCAGGACATTTTGGGCACTGAAAGGCCTATTAGTGTTTATGCTGAAACAACAGGAATGAACCAGGATGTATGATTACCAAAATAACCCTATAGGCCCAATATTTGGCCCCAATATTTCTGGGGTTGTCACAGTATTATCTCATCATTAAAATAAATCTTTTTTAAAAAAAGACCCTTGCTATCTACCTTTCAGACATCTGAATGCGAGAGTAGACCCCATAAGCCAGAGATGGGTCATCTGCAAAAGAGGAGCCGCTCCTTCCAAACCAGTCTGTCTGCCTGCCTAGAGATCCAAACTCTCCCAACCGAGGACTATCACTGTTTTCCTATTAATCCTACATTTTTTTTTACATCCAGAGTTATTTTTCTTTTATTTACTTAAAACTCTAAGCCACAAAGCACTTGTTATGTAGCCAATTTGAAACAAATATTGGTTTACAGAAAGCCAAAAGTTGGTGCCTTTGTAATTAGTTTTATCTAAAGTACACCATGAAGTGTAAATACAGATATATTTTTCATAAAATAGTTACTCCAAGATCAAAAACAACTCACAGAGGTTAGTACTTACGAGAGTATAGCCAAAGGTAACTGTGAAATTTATGAATTTATTTTATGTGGGAGGTTGAATACACTAAGTGATAAATCAGCTAATATGATCAAGGTTACTACCTGTATTTTTAAAGCTATTATACTTACCAAAGACCACTGGGATTGTAACAACCAGAAATATTCCAATTATAATAGTAAGTACAAAGCTCGTTTCTGGTATCCAAAAACCATCTAATAAAATAAATGAAAAAAAAACTTAATTTGCAGAATACAGCTAGGTAGTTTCAGGGGTATCCCAGATATGTCTGAACTAGCTCCTACTAGATTTTCACAAGCCAGTTGTTAAACCACTGGTAGTTTGAAATCACCCATAGCAAGAGCGTTTAACACCACAGGACATCAAAGTCAAGGTTTGGTTTGGTTTGGTTTAGTTTTCCAAAGATCTGGTTTACCAATGCACCATTATGATATACCCACCCAGGCTTCTACTTCATAATAGCTGAGGAAACATGTATAATCTTTTTTTTAAAGACTTTATTCATTTGAGAGAGAGAGAGAAACCAAAGCTAAAGGCCTCGTGTCATAAGAAGCTTTTACCAGTCTGATACGGTTATAGCATAGGAACGATGAACTATAATTGGAGGACAAATCATGGAAGGCCTTAAATGCCACACAGAAATTTGCACTTGATTCCAAAGGCAGTGAATGGAGAGTCATTTCGGGGATTTCAGAAGGGGGGTTAAGTAATCCAGCTTGTGCTTCAGCTAGATCAATTGTCAGCAGTGTGATTAAGCCAAGAGCACAGGCAAGAAATGATAAATTAGGAAAGCCAAAGTGAGAATAGGAAGATGAGCACTCAACAGACAGAATTCAAGATGGTAAGTGAACAAAACTTGGTGACTGAGTAGAGGGAAAAATTAAATATGGTATTGAGATTTCTAGCCTATGTGATTAGACAGATGATATATCATAACCTAAAATGGGATACACAGTGAAAGATGTAGAAAGCATCGTTTTAGGACAGTTGAGTAGAAGGTGAGAGTATGGGGAGCAGGAACATAAGGCTGGATCCAGACCAGACTGTGGACAGCCTGGGAAGCCTATCCAGGAGCACTGACTTGATGTGTTAGGCATGAAAGAGTAGCTGATCATTGCTGAGGAGAAAAATGACATGAGGATTCTGATGTTTTAGGAAGGTCACATCAGATAAAATGAATAGTTCCATAGTCTGGATGATAAATTACACAGTCATCCAATTTATTTCTAATGTTAAGAATTCACTTATCTTTATCTCCAAACCTTTGTGTAGTCAATTAGCATATAGACAGACATGGTAACATACCTCCAACTAACAGAATATCCTCACTGATTCCACTATAGTCACCAAATCCCAGATTATTTGCGGCTACTACTCTGAACTGAAATCTTCCTCTCAGGTTTTTGGACTTCCATGTACAAATACTACTGCAGGATCCATTAAATGCCATCTTCCACATTAAATTCTGGTTCTGTGAATCATTTGAAATGCCCTTTCTACCAAAAAAAAAAAAGAGCAAAATGGTAAATATAGAAAATATGAGACAATATATGTATTATTTCTGGACACTCCTGTATCATTTTAATGACAGAACTCCAGAGCATCTCCTAGTACACACTTTACCCTTGATCTCATTCCTCTCACATGGTTTGGCTACAGAACACTTAACTGGCTACAGACGGCACTTAACTGACTGAGCCACCCAGGCAGACACCTAACTGAGCATAATCTCATAAAGTCATCCTGGCAATGCATAGGAGCCCACCAATTCAGCCCATTGGGAAAATAACAAATAATCAATGGCCAAGAGAAAGCGAAAGAGGTTTTTCCTGCTATTAGAATGTGTAAACTTTCTTCAGAATTTCAAACACATAAGACAATTAGCCCATAGTTTCTAACCTGGAGTTTTTTATTCTTTTTTTTTTTTTTTAAGATTTTATTTATTTATTTGACAGAGAGAGACACAGCAAGAGAGGGAACACAAGCAAGGGGGAGTGGGAGAGGGAGAAGCAGGCCTCCCGCGGAGCAGGGAGCCCGATGCGGGGCTCGATCCCAGGACCCTGGGACCATGACCTGAGCCGAAGGCAGACGCTTAACGACTGAGGCACCCAGGCGCCCCTTTTATTCTTTCTTAATTCTCAGTCTCTTATGCCATCTGTAGTTTATGTATACCACAGCTGGATAAAATAAAATACAGGACATAAAACTGATAAAGAAAGTATAATAGTTCGACTACCAAAATTATCATTATACCTGAGATTCCGAGGTGTATTCCTTCCATTTGTATTGGCCTACACGCCACCTCAAGTCAACCCACATCATTCTTTATATGAAACATGGAAAGAATACAAGAGTGAGGCTCAAAAGTTGTAAATGGAATGTCTTTTTTTTTTTTTTTTAAGATTTTATTTATTTATTTGACAGAGAGAGACACAGCAAGAGAGGGAACACAAGCAAGGGGGAGTGGGAGAGGGAGAAGCAGGCCTCCCGCAGAGCAGGGAGCCCGATGCGGGGCTCGATCCCAGGATCCCAGGATCCCAGGATCCCGGGATCACGACCTGAGCCGAAGGCAGACGCTTAACAACTGAGCCACCCAGGCGCCCCTGGAATGTCTTTTAATAGAATCATTAACTGAAGGCAAGCTCAAGGCCTTCTAATTACCTCCTTTGTGATGGGGAAGAACTTTTCAAAGTCTGGGACTTCTCAGACAACAACAGTTTTAGGACCAACCCACAGTAGGCTTAGGGATAGCTAGTTCTGCTCCTATAAACTGAGTGGTCATCCTGAAAGGGATGGGAAGGCTAAGACTTTGAGGGACAGGGAATGGGCAAGAACATCCGGAAGATCAGGGCAGCAGAGTTGCTCACAACTGTTACCAAGAGCTAAGTGTCCTAGGGACCATTCTGCTCCTAAGACTCTTTATACAATGTTTTTGTACATTTTGTTAAGTCTTGTGCTAGGCATTGGCATTTTCATTGTTCAGTCCAAACAACACTGATCCAAAAGAAAGAGACCCTTAAAAATTTATAAAATGTCTCTTCACAGTTACTGACCACCGAGGAAGACAAGAATTCTGACACTGGTTGAGCATCTTCTATTTATAACCCACCATACTGGTGCTTTTCATTTTGTTTCATTTCATTGAGTTTTCACAACAACCTAAGGAGGTAAATGTCATCGTCCCATTTTACAGATGGGAAAACTTAAATTCAAAAAAGGAATAAAGCAAGTGTTTAAACATGGCCCTGGGTTGAAGAACTCAACCAAACTCAAAACTCATGCCTACTCAGATGTGACCTTGTTTGGAAATAAGGTCTTCTTAGATGTAATCAAGTTAGGATGAGGTCATACTGGATTAGGGTAGGCTTAAATCCAAGACCAGTGCCTTCTTGAGGAGAAAGAAATTTAGGCACAGATAAACACAGAGAGCACCGGGTGATGACAGAGCCAGGGACTGACATGATGCATCTACAAGAAATACCGAGGATTGCTGGAAAGTCTGGATCCCCAGAGGCTAAGAAGAGGCAAGGAAGGATTCTTCCCTAGGACCTTCAGAAGGAGCATGATCCGACTAATACCTTGATTTCAGACTTATAGTCTCCAGAACTGTGAGAGAATAAATTCTTGTTGTTTCAAGCCACCCAGTTGGTGGTACTTTCTCGTGGCAGTCTTTGGACACTAATACAGTCTGCTCAGCTCCCAAGTTCACACACTTTGCACTACCATTACCCCGCACCATCAGTAAGAACCTGGGTATGCCAGTGTCCTGACTGAAGACGCGACTTTGAGATACCGAAGGTACAGCAATTCATTCCATTATCCCATCACCCCTGTCCTGACAGTAGAGGCTTGGGGCAAGAAAATGCAAAGAATTTATGGAGCTATGGGCTTAAGGCATCACTGAAGGAAACTTGCTAAAGGGGTCCTAGCAAGATGGTGCTGTGGGCGGGCTGGTGAGTATAATTACAGTCACAGACCACCAAGACGGCTCAGCAGATTAGAATGTATTTGACTCTGCATGAAAACCAGTAATAGGAATTTCAAGGAGGTTTCTGTTAGCAGTGTGGCAAACGTAATTCTCTACCATGCACGGGAAAATTTTTTAAGGTTATGGGAGTACCAGAGCAAAATGAAGCAAAAATAGATCTAAAGCTCAAGTTGCCAGGACTATAATTATGGAAGTGACTTTTGTCCTTGGAGCTTCTTAAAAGATAGCTTCATGGACCTGTGAGGGGAGTGTCTGTGGAATTTGGAATTCTCCCCTCAAGTTGGCATGAAATCAGTCCATCTGAGCCAGTTACCATTTACAGAGCTCCCCATACTGGCCGGCTCTGAGGTTGCTTATGTTCATCAGCAGCATGGTTTTCATTGAAGGCACATTTTCAGACTCTTGGGAGCACACTGCAAACTGCAATCTTCACAATGGATAAAGAATCCTGTGTGACCTATACAGGTCAGATCATTTTGGACCTTGACCTACTTTTACATTCTGAAAAATACCTAGTTCACTGCCGGTTCTCACTAGGCATTATTCATCTTGCTAAAACAAATCATCATCAGAAATTTACATGCATACCATCATCTAACAGCAAACATCAGCTCAGCTTCTTGAACGAAATAGATATTAAATAAATATTAGTTGCATGTGTCAATGATTGGATTATTTCCATAAAGTTCGGACAAGTAGTTGCAGATTTCCCAGAACAATGATGTGATCTGCCTTATAATTGGAGTGCTGAGGCTGACTGCTAGGAATTGAGCAGAGAACATAATGGTGCACTCAAGGTCCTTCAACTAAAGATCCTTCATATTTATTTATAAATACACATTCATAAATATTGTTAATTTCGATCTAATAATACCTTACAATTAACCGCTTAGCTCTTTGTAGTTTACAAAGCACTTCTGCAAACAGACGTACCTGATCTCAAGGATATAGTACATAAGCCGGCTTCCATTATCTTCGGCTTTTTCCCACTGTATTGAATCTTTGCTCCCTTCTAATACTTTTGGAATGCCTGGTTTACTTGGTACTCCAGCTTTGGAAACATAAGAAAATGCTGACTGATACAACAGAAATATAAAATATTCTGCATACCATCTTTCTATAGGATACATTTCCAAAAAGAAAAGCCAAATACATTAAAGAAATATTCAGAAATACTCTGATATGAGTGTATATTTTTAAATGAGTATCCGAAGTTTTTACTAATGATGGATTAGATGGATTAGTGATAGGAATAATAATATATCTTAGCTCACTACAAAATAAGTGATGCAAAGGAAACTATGTAAATTTTGGAGCATTTTTCCCTTGATTCTTACAGGGATCAACTTATAGGGATCACTAATTAACATTCCTTTTGGATTTTTTTTATTTTTAGCATCTGGAATATAGTAGTCAGTGAGTAAATATGTGTTGAACACTCAGTAACACTGTTTTCATTTAGTTCTCACTGCAAAATGTCAGCCAGACAAGAGAGCAGAGGATACTGAAAGGCAAAATAATCTTGCCCAGTTCAGGATTCTGCAAGACCAGGCCCGTATTACCTCGTTAATGCTTGTAAGGACTCCTGGTTCTTTTCAGTTTCTTCACTCAAGCTCTAGAAATAGTAATTTACACCTTTTAAGAAAAGGTTAACCTCTAGAATTGGTGAAAAAAGTGATAAGAGAGGCACTGAGAAACTTATAGGAGTTTTTTGAGTACCGAGGATGTTAGTACTCACCTTTTGTCTTAAAGCTTTCTGGGAGTGAGGTGCTATTTTCTCCTGTCCTATAAACCACCACTACGCGGACAGTATAGGACGTGTAAGGCTGTAGATCTGTGATGTTACACACATAAGCCAGGCCTTGGATGCATGAAGTGTTAACACGGGAAAACTCATTGTCTTTCCACTGGAAAAAGAAGTCTCAAGTAACACTTTGTTTTGTTTCTTTAAGAAAATCCTCTTAAACATAGAAATTCACAAGTCTATGGCAAGCAATTAAAAACTTATTCAAGGGCGCCTGGGTGGCTCAGTTGGTTGAGCGACTGCCTTCGGCTCAGGTCATGATCCTGGAGTCCCTGGATCGAGTCCCGCATCGGGCTCCCTGCTCGGCGGGGAGCCTGCTTCTCCCTCTGACCCTCCCCCTCTCATGTGCTCTCTGTCTCTCTCATTCTCTCTGTCTCAAATAAATAAATAAAATCTTTAAAAAAAAAAAAACTTATTCAAATGTATTTTCTGTTAAAAAAATAAGAGCTTCTTCATTAATGTTTGATCCCAAACATCTCCACCACTGACGGCCACTTTATGGGGTTTTTTTTTGTTTTTAGTTTTTCTGTTTTTGTGACAAGCTATAACTGACTTGAATAATGGTTCTTAGGATTAGTCCAAGGTGGGACATGAACCTCTTACTATATATATATTATTTTGGAAGATGTGAAGCTTAGCTTTGTGTTATCCCTAATTGGAGACACCTACCTTAAATCAGGATGGCTGAGAATGCAAATTCACAGCTGAGGGACCGTGATGGATCAAAACAACAATATTTTTAATTCTGTGTATTTGCTAATTTCAAATCAATAATATTTTTACATACTTTGATTCTTTCAAGAGGTCCACAGTGACTTATAAATTAAAACATTTAGTTTCTTCCTCCAAAACTCTTTCCAGACCTCTAATCAGCATTCCTTATTTTTATATATACAAAGCCTAGTTCCCTAAAAGCGGGAAATTTCTACCCACCATCACTCAGCTACCAGTTAGTAAGGTTAGAAGTTAAATATAGGAAATCTTACTTTCATTCCACTGTAGATCCTGGGTCTCTATTTATAGCTATTTTACACTTTCTTTGTGCATGGCTTTTAAAAAATCTGTGTATTTGGACCCTTAATATCTTATTTGAAAATGGAGATTTTTTTTTCAATGTACAAGTAGGGAAAGACAGAGGATGTGGCATTTTGTCAAGGGTTCTTAGTGTATTTTCTCCAGTAGAGTTTCCTAAGAAGGTCAGTTTCCATAAATAAACCTTACTTTACATCTCGTTTTTCATTTCGTGCTCACAAGGTCACATCATTTCATTGGATGGACACTTTATATTAGTTTTCTATTCAATAAGGAATGGTTCCTATAGCACCTTTGGGGAGTAGACCACCTTGTTACAAAAAGAAAGAGGCAAAGGGGGGATGGAAGGAATGGGAAAAAAATACAGAAATGCCGATGTCTGGGCCATTGCCTGCTAAATTCATAAATGGATCAATCCCACTATGACATACAGGCTAAAGAAAGAGGTACACTGGGTCCATAATATTTACTCTGAACCATGGGAGAGAGAGAGAGAGAGACAGATAAATATTGATTTCTGGCTCAAAAATTTTAGCCCTTTGTGGCCCTGCCTCCTTAATAACCTGCTATAGAAACCACCTGAAGTGAATAGTCTAGATGACCTAACATTCCATATCATCCAGAAATGATCAAAGCTCCTTGGAAGGTCAGATGTGTGACCAAGGGTTCTGCTGGAAAGCTGTCACGTACTGGCCTAGCCACAGCCCACAGCAATGAATGTTCCGGGCAGACCACCAACTTGGAGAGGTGCCATGGCTACCCCAGTAAATCACAAGGGAGTCAGGACCTTCCATTTGTCAGAAGCCAACAAGTGCAGGGGTGATTTTCAATACCACAGTGGGATTTTCAAATTATTTGGGCGGGGGTGTGGAGGAAATGGTGCAGACTACCATGTCTCAGAGACCGGGACTTCAGAACTGTTTGGTTCCGGTAGGAACTTTCTTGGACAGTTGAGAAACACTCAACTTTTAATGGGCTTCCATGAAAATAATTTACCAAAGTGAAACTACTTGCTTCTCCTCAATCTTAAATTAAATATGTTCTTCTTCTATACACTGTTGTGATAAAAAAAAAAAAAAAATCTGTGGAATTTAAGACCGAGATAGAAATTTAGCCTTGTAATCTAATTCCTTCATTTTCTATAGAAGGAAATTTTAACAACAAAGATGAAAACTGTAAATTTATCCTTTTCTCCTTCTTTCCTAGAAAGAATTTTTAAAAATTATTAATTAAAAAGATACATATTCACCCTTACCACTCACCCCTCGGAGTTTCAATCTGGAGTTATAGGATCATTCCTAGCTGTCCTATCATTATGAGGTAGGTTCAAGTTACTCAAAAGATACAGAACTTTCTGACTAGATGGACTCATCAACCCTCTCAGGACACAGCCTTCTATTATGCTCAGCAATTAGTGCTGGTACATGGTCATACCTGTGAAAATTACTGTACCCTACCTCCTCAGCTTCAAGGTTTTCTAAGTGGTATATCTGGAACCTGTTTTCAGCAAGTGTAGAGGAAGTTTTGAAACAAAGAGCATTGCATGAAAGTCACAAGGACTGAACCAGGCAGGCCCAGCCTGCTGTCCTTGTCCCAAACTTTGAGGAGTGGGGTGGGTCCTTAGTGACTCACATTCCTTCCATGGATAGTACCCAAGTAGGACTGCTGTAGGATGAGTCAGCCCCCAGGGCTCTTCCCTGCCTGGCTTGTGATATCTGACTCACTATGGCACCTGTCTGGCTCTCCGACTTCTCACTGGTAAAAGGAGGGGCTCAGAGTCACCAGATGTAAGGCCCATCCCCATCTCATTTCTTTAACGTAGGAAATAAACTTTTTACATCCCCCACCTTGCCTTTAAACTGCATTAAGCTTACTTAAATAGATGTCCTAAAAAAGGTGATCCTCCAATTTAACTACATTTTTATAAGAGGATCATTTTTTAAATAGGCAACAAATCATCATAAACATGCTCAGTGGAAGAAGTCCAACTAAACTACAGACTTCGGTTTTATCAACTCGACATTCACTGTTGTTACACAGTTTTCATAGATTTTATCTAAAAAGTACAAGATCATAGAAAATATCTCACATAGTAGAATTTAAAAACATCCAGGGGAGGAACTCCATTTTTTAAAAAAAGCCAGGCCATGACTATACTGCTTTGTTTTTGTTACAACTGAACAAAAGATTCCTAACCAATCTTCACAAATGTGGACACACGAAATATATACTACTGAAAATGAAATCTAGCAATTATTAAAAATAATCCATTTTAAGTGTATCAATATAAAAATCAACATAGACTCTCCCCAGCAGTGACTTATTAGATTAATTAATGCTTTCATATTCAGTGGATGTTTTTATATTGGAAAAAGCATGAAGATTTTTGTACGAGGAAACTTCTAAATTTTATAGCCCAAGATCAAACTAGTTTAGAATAAACTCAGTTTATATTTTACATCTCTCTTGTTGCTACACAGCCCTTAAATGGCGGAAAGAATATTTCTAAACAAGGTTTTGGGTGTTGTTCGTTTGCTTGTTCATTTCTTTTATTTTTTTTCACAGAAAACACCAAATTGCTATGGACTTTAAACTAGACAGCCATGCTGATAATATCTAAACTAAGTGAAATATTATGAAAACCAGCAAACCATAGCTTATACCCTTTTCCACGGAGCCTTTTTAAGAGCAAACTAATCTCTCTGGAAATTCTTTGCGTCAGAAATGAGTTTAGAGGGGCGCCTGGGTGGCTCAGTTGGTTAAGCGACTGCCTTCAGCTCAGGTCATGATCCCAGGGTCCTGGGATCGAGTCCTGCATCGGGCTCCCTGCTCTGCGGGGAGCCTGCTTCTCCCTCTCCCACTCCCCCTGCTTGTGTTCCCTCTCTCGCTGTGTCTCTCTCTGTCAAATAAATAAATAAAATCTTTAAAAAAAAAAAAAAAGAAATGAGTTTAGATAGCTTCTGTATATGGCAAACCTAAATCAATGAATGTTGTAAAATATATTGTTGATTTATACAGGAGAAAACTCTAGACATATGAAAAAGGTCTTCTAATTTATCCCATAGCATAAAACACAGATTTGCATGAAACGTGTATGGTGAGATCTACCTTCTGGAGTTCAAACCAAAATCTGGTGAGGTTAACATCAGATGGAGCCTTCCAATCTAATTGCAAACTAGTGTTCTCTGGAACCAAGGCATACGGTTTCTCCGGTGTGTCAAACATTTTGACAGTGACAGGATGACTCTCAGCACACCACATTTCCTCAGCATGGCAGGCCAGAACCTTTTTGTAAAAAAGAACAATTGCTTAACTTTTTCAGAGCCTTGCACTTGAGAACGGCAATAAAAGCGCCCAAGACACTCACTGTACCTTTAACACATACAGTTTCCCACCGGACAGTCTAGTAACATGGACAGCGAGTCTTCCATTTGGATATTCACTTGGTCTTAGAGGGGTCTCTGGAATTAGAGCCAGATGTGAGATTGCCAACTGATAGCGGACTGACTCTTTAGGTCCATTTGGCTTGTGAGATTCTCTCCAGGATATAAGGAGGCTGGTGTCTGACTGCACAGTTGTGTTAATGAGCCTAACTGCCTCAGGCACTGAAACAAATAGCAACAAATGATAAGGGATGTTGCATCAGCACTGAACGATGGAAGAAGGAACGGGGTCTTGGTTGCGGAATAACCATATCATGTGAGCAGAACAAATGACAGATGTTCCAAAGGAAAACCAGTCTCTCATATCACAGTAACACAGAAAGTTAAAGGGCTGCCTGAAAGGCTCTCGCTTATTTTTGCCTAAGGACTAACTCATTCTCTGACTCCAGCTCAATGATACGGCCAATGAGGATGAATAAACTGACTCAGATTCGACTGGGGAATGTCATCAAAGACATCTGAAAGAAATGGCATCACCTCAAAATCACCACCACCACTTAGAATGTCTCTTTAGAGTCTAGATCCATTTTCTTTCAGGCAATGATGTTATTTACTTTCAATCTCAGTGGTGGCCTTGGTAAAATTCACACAAAGAGGCTGACTTCTGTCTCCGCACGCACAGACACCTGTGACTACGTGGGGAGAGGGTGACACTCTGTGGTGAGACCAGAGAATGTGTTTCTTGGTCAAACAGTATGTTTGACTCTGACGTTTCACCTTCTAGTTGATTTTCATTCCGATGGGATAATAGTCATCTGTTGTTAGAGTACAAATCAGGTCATCAGGGTATTTTCAACAATACATTTTTCTTATTAAGCTTAAAAAGCTCACGTAATCAAGATTACTTAGCATCCAAATTTAAAAAAACAAATACAGATATATATGTCACCTACATCACGAAATGCCACTCTAGAAACCCGCCCCAAGCCCATAACTCACCTCCACTTCTAGTTTTTCCCCAGATCTTTTTTCCCAGAGGTAACCGTTCCACAGGGTCTGAATAATAATTCTTTACAGCTGTCTGTATCACATATGTTGAAAATGGTTGTAAACCATCAATAAGGACTATCCTCTCCTGAAACTCCTGTAATGAATTTTTAAAAATCAATACCTGATTATTTTTTTGTACAAAGGAGGAGAAATATTTAACCAAAGGGAGAAGATAATTAAAAGATTTTTTGAAGTTAATTTATTTTTTGATATTGGATCATGAGAACGATCATGTTCACCGCCCTAATCTGCCCAGACCTGAGTTGCCTAATACCTCCAAGAATAAATACAAAATGATGGGCAGCCCTTGGTCAATTCTGTAACATGCTCATTTCACGTATGAAGCTTAGTTCTCAGAAGAGGATATTATTTCTCCAGCACTGCAACAAACATTCAGCAAGATGGTCTGGTAAAGATGTGACCAACCTAAGTGAATATGATGAAAGATGAAGCTGGATTATCTCTCATCATTCTTAGAGGTAACGCTTAAGAAAGTAAAAATGCTTTCCTTAGAGCCACGGTTCTCAACTTCGGTTGTACTATGGAATCATCTGAAAAGTCTTAAGAAAACACTTGTGCCTGGGTCCCACCCCCCAGAAATTCTGATTGCACTGGTCGGAGGTGAAGTGTGGGCCCAGAGATTTTTAAAACCCCAATGTGCAGTCAGGCTGGAGAACCACTGCCTCGGACACATATTCATCAGTGTGAAGACACCAGGATCGATCAGCTGCAGTAACAGAACTCTTGGTACCAGCGGCCCAATCTTTTTCAGCCAAATGATCCCAGCTGTCTCTGATACATTGAAATGTGTAAAGAAAGGTTAAAATAGACAAAATAAAGGAAATAACAAGAATCATGTGTCCTTTCTGGAAAAGTATATAGTGCTTAACTTCCAACAGATGATGGTCAATTTCACCTTTTGACTTGGTTAAATAACAAGCATAGAGCAAAATATTGGATGCATATGACTCCATCACAAGGACAACTGAAACAGGCACGAGTGCCAGTGAGAGAATGAATTGTGCCAACTAATTCATCCATTCAAGAACTATCGAGTGAAAGCCTCTACAAAGCCAACTATTACACTAGGTGTTAAGAACACAATGACAAATAAACTCAGACATAGTCCCTACATAACAGCACATTGCACAGCATACAGGAAATAAGAGACAAAAATAGAACATACCATTTTTATATTAAATATGTGCTATGGAGGAGGGGTATACAGTCATGTTCTTTCCGTCTAATCATTTCTTATCCCTCAACTTACAATCTGCCGCATAGGCCACAAAAACACATCTCTATCACTTTCTGGGGATAGTCAGGGAGGGATAATTAGTCAGGGAGGGAGGACTCAGGAAACTGTCACTATGGCAATCCACCACTGGTCAGAGTTAATATACTTCCCTGAAGCTTAATTCCCAGACAAGACTAGAACACCATCTGCTTTGATGAATAAGCTGTAAAAGTCTGCACAGTTGCATGTTTCAGAATATACAAAATACTTCATTGCGAGTGAGAATTTTATTTTTTTAAGATTTTATTTAGTTATTTGAGAGAGGGACAGCAAGAGAGAGAGCACAAGCAGGGGGAGCAGCAGAAGCAGGCTCCCTGCTCAGCAGGGAGCCCAGTGACTGGCTCCATCCCAGGACCCTGGGATCGTGACCTGAGCCGAAGGCAGACGCTTAACCCACTGAGCCACCCAGGCGCCCTGAATGAGAATTTTATATCTTGTGATATAGGTATCTTGTGAAAAGACAAAGACCACCAGCTCCAATCTTACCAGCATTTTATATTTCAGCTCAGAGCTGGTTTTCCTGTCATTAACTTCTTTGTAATAAACCAGGTATGTTGGAGTAGGGCTGGTGATGTCGGGCCACGAGAGGTTGGTCCTGGTGGGCAGTAATCTGATTGTGAGGCTGGTGTTAGTGGTGTTAAGTATAACTGGCTCTGCTATATCTGAAGCTAGATGCAGTAATGCTTTATCTAAAACAATAAGAAAAAATTAAAAATATGCACGTATCTGTATAAAAGAGGAACAGCAGGTTTATTTAACATCAAGGATAATAACGTCTTTTTTTTTTTTTATTTAGCTGACAAGGTATGATATAATGAAGTGTTGGATATGTTTTTCAGGAAAGGAAGACAAGGTTGTTTCTTGGTTTTGGTTTTTTGGTTTTTTGGGGTTTTTTTCCCATACATTTTGAAGTCCTTAAATGCCTCAGAAAAGAGGAGCAAGGTAACTGATCAGTGCTCAAAATCTCCAGCAGGTGGAGCTAAAGAACACTGAATAATGTACATAGCAGCAAAATCAAGTTGACCCTTTTTTTACTTCGAAGAAAGTAATGACAGCATTATATTAATCATATCTTTTAAATTAATTCCAGTTACAAAAACTCATGCTAGGTTTAGGGCTTTTATTTTTAAGGATGTATGCGCATATGTGCGTGTTCAATTTCAAACAGATGTTGCACGGACTTACTAAATTTCTTAAATTTCTCAAAGTGAAAAATGAATCACATAGCTAGTTCTGCCATACATACATAGTGCCATACAGACATCCCTAAAAGTCACTGCATTATACAAAACAGCATAATAAAATCCACAGGGTTTATGGGGGAGACAGAGTTAGAGGCACGACAGTAAAAAATGTAATGAGTGACACATTACCAAAAAAGATAGGAACTTAATAAAAATGCTAGCACACATGTACACATGATAAATGGTTGATACACAAATTACTACCATAAATACAGCACTTTACTCTGAAAAAGACCTGAAATTTAATGCGGTGCTTTTTGATGGACTGGGAGGTCTAAAATGTTGTCAGAGGAGAAAAGACAGAAAGAAGAGAAATTATGGGAATGAGAACAGAAAGAGGACAGACAGAGAGAATGACAGACAAGGGTTTCCACTGTCTAAAGTTGTCTACCACAGCCGAGCCTTGTATACACATGGAGATAAATTATGATCCAGGGCAAACAGCAATCACAGTGTGCACCAATTCTGACAGATTGGAGTAACGCTGAGCATAACGAAGGGCTTGGGGGGACAGCCTGGAGAAGGAGACATTCTGAGACTTTTCTGACCCTAAACTGGGAGAACATGCTCATTAAGGGGGTGATCTTATTACCTGGAAAAGGCTGCAGAACTGAACTGTAAGCCAAGATACGCTTACTCCTTTCAGCCTTCACCAGAGAGACAATGGCCCCATTGCTTTTCTTCGCTTGATAAATCTGTGTGCTGTCCTTTGCCGAGGAGATCCAGTATAGAAATTCCCCATCCACGGTTAAGCTTTCAAGTGTTTTTCCTGCTCGTGAAAAACGCAGAATAAAGAACACAAAGAACAAAATACATAGTGTATGTTTCTACTCTACACAATATGTGAAATCCTTTTTCTGTATTGTAATAGCTAAATTTTCAATATGGAAAAAAATACCACCTTTATTTTATGTCATGAAGATTTTATAGATATTTTCTCATTTTAGCTCCATCCTAAGTCAATAAGGTAAATACTATTATTATTAGCCTCATTTTGTAGAAGTGGAAACTGAGGCTTTGAGGAGTTAAATAATCTCCTCAAGGTCACAAAATTAGTAAAGGGCAGAGCCAAGATTTACAACTTAACTTGTGTGACTCCACCTCAAGCAAGGCCTATTGGAAGAGAGGTGTTAGAAGATAGGCCCAGGGCTCAGTGTCTTGCTCAATTATTTTTTATCAATGATTAGGAATAGATGCAGAGTAAACACACTTACCAAATTTGTACAGAATACCTGATTCTACTGACACTAGTATGTTCAATCACTGACTTAAAACTTGAAAATATCACAACAAAATCAGGAAACGGATTGAAATTTAATAGGAATAAATGTGACATCCTAAATTCAAGCTTAAAATCAACTCTATAAATAACAAATGAAAGAAATCTGGCTTAATAATAGTTACCATGAAAAAGCCTATGGGGTTTTCAAATGGCAGGCAACCTCAAGACATGAGGCCACATTTACCTCCAATAAAAGAAGACGGAGGAAGTCAGAGGCTCCCTGCACTAACCAGATCACAGTGAGAGTACAGGGAGTCGCTTTTGGGGGTGACACTTAAGAGGATATCAAGCAGCTGGAGTGAAACCACAGGAGGGTTACTAGGGCAAAGAATGATCTAGAAGCCACATCATGTGAGGAGTAGTTACAGATACATGAATTTTTCCTCCAATAGAAGTACTTAGAATGAGCTATGACAGTCGCCCCAACATATCTGAATGGTTATTGTGTAGAAAGTGATTGATTTCTTCTTTATAAAGTTAGAGGTCAGAACTCAGACCAATGAATGGGAAAAATGGGGGGAAAACTTTGGCGAAATATAGGGGGAAAAATCCAATATTTAGAATCGTTGCAAAATATTTAAACACTTCCTTATAAAGAAGATTTTTTTATAAGCAGGTGTTCAAGCAAGGGTGTTTTCATAGAGGGGATTTCTTCCAACAACATACCAGCTAAAGGATCTTTAAAGTCATTTAGATATTCTAATTTTAGGGTTATAAATTTCAATTACGGATTCTTGTAAGACTAACCAGTTCTATACCTACAAGATAATGGCCCACTAGATAATTCTTGTGTATCAGATGATAAAGAAAAATTATTCTGACACTTGTTTAAATGGTAAGGAAGACTTAAGACTACTGTAATACTGCAGTGGGGGAGAGAGATGTGCTCAACTTCACATACAACAAAGTCAGCTGGGGATGCGGAGCCAACAGAGTGAGGGGATGCATGGACAGAAAATTACTAAGAGGAGACATCAAGGATAGGGAGATTCTTGCTAAACAGGCTTACTATGATTTTTTTGCTAAAGGCAATTCAAGAACATCAAGGGTGGGGGATGAAGAACTTCATCAGATACCAAGGGTGGGGATTATCTCTAAACTGATTTAGCAAGATTCTTGCTAAAACTAGACTCAGCAATGACAGACTTGGAAGACCAAGGTCAAGGCCTAGTTGAGGAAAGGTTTCAGAGGAGCCCAATGTTTGATCAAGGAAAGTCTTTGTCACAGATTGAACAGAAACAAGTAATTCTCCTAAGAAGAGAAGTTCAAAACATTATTTCTAAAGCCCATTGAAAGTATATTGGAATTGTTTCTAAAAGGCTCTAGGTAACATGTCAACAAAACCATATGTGCAGTTATAATACAGACACATATATACACACTCATTTGCAATTTCAAAACTTTACTATATAGACCAGCAATGTCCAATAGCACTTGTGATGATGGAAGTATTTTATATCTACGCTGCCCAACACAATAACCATGTGGTTTTTAAGCACTTAAAATGTGGCTCATGTGACTACAGAATTAAATTTTTAATTTCAGTTAATTTTAGTTAGTTTGAACTTAAATCACATGTGACTGGTGGTTACTACATTGGACAGTGAGGAGTAGACTCTTAAGAATATATGAGAGTAGGGGGTCCTGGGTGGCTCATTCGTTAAGCGTCTGCCTTTGGCTTGGGTCATGATCCCAGAGTTCTGGGATCAAGCCCCACATCGGACTCCCTGCTCAGTGGGAAGCCTGCTTCTCCTTCTCCCGCTCCCCCTGCTTATGTTCCCTCTCTCGCTGCTGTCTCTCTCTCTCTGTGTCAAATACATAAATCTTTAAAAAAAAAAAAGAAAAGAATATATGAGAGTAGGGGCTCCTGGGCGGCTCAGTTGGTTAGGAGTCCAACTCTTGATTTCGGCTCAGGTCATGATCTCAGGGTCGTGAGATCCAGCCCAGAGTAGGACTTCAGGCTGATGCAGAGTCTGCTTGTCCCTCCCCCTCCCCCTTTGTCCCTCCCCTCCCCTCTCATGCAAATTCTCTCTCTCTCTCTCAAATAAATAAATAAAATGATTTTTTTTTTAAAAAGAATACATGTAGGTATTTAGAGTGCATTTTTGTCCTATTGCAGTTACTCCTAATTAGAAGACCTCCAAATCATTTCAGACATTTAAGTATTTCCTCCACAAGCATGTGCATTTCAACAAATAGACCTGTCAAATATTGACCAACTCATGCTGAATATGGAGTCAATGGGACCATCACAACAGAAGCAAAGTAAGGTGCTGGTAGTAAGATCATGGATGCTATAGTCAGGCCCAGCTTCAAACCCCAACTCCTCCACTAATCATGGCCCTCTGGATAAGTACCTTATCTTTCTCAGCCTCAGTTTCCTCATCCATAAAATGAGGACACTAGCATCTACTTCATCAAGGTGCTTTGAAAATTAAATGAGGTAGTACATTTGGTAGCTTGCTTAGAATATATAGTTAAGCTCAATAAATTGTAGCTCTACTGTTAATTATAAAATAACAGCAAAAACAACAAAGAAACCCACGGATCCAACAAATTTTGTGAATGTCTATATACAATTTTCCTGGAAACAACTTGACTTAAATTCTACAGGAACATTTGGCAAGGTCCAGAGCAAATACCATGTGTAGATTCTTTTGAGTATATTCTTTTTAATGGAACAGGAGGGACTGCCATTACTGATGAGCATCTATGTACACATATGGATGTCTTACCAAGCAGAGTGGGCACCATGATAACTGGCCAGCACCGACATCCTTCCAGATCCATGGCCCAGATCTCTTGCCCTTTGACAAAATATATCTGCGGTTTCTTTGGGTCAGAGGTATCAATCGTCATTGTTCCACTAAACTCAAATTGAGTAACACCACAAAAACACTGACTCCTTCCATTTGAATGGTTTGTAGCTATGGGTGGAAGAATGTGACTCAAGGTCTGGTTGATAATACTGTAGTAGAACATCTGAGAGCCAAAGTCTGAAACTTCTGTCCAATACAGGCGACTATAGGGGGAAAAAAAAGACCCTCCAACTTAATAAGTAAAACATATCATTGTAAATGTTAGGTTCCAATGAGGATTAATCATTCCTAATGACTGGAGAGACAAATACAGCCTTTGAGAGAACATGTCCAAGTGTCCAATAACCTTCTGAGATGGAGGTGGCCATAAGCAGTCTAGTTTGTAGCAGTTTCCCATGATTTCTCAATAACTGTGTTTACAACTAAAGCCTTGGACTAAAATGACCTTGAGGTGCTGTATGCAATGAGTCATTAATGGCTGTAAATGTGACATATATTTGCACGCTCTCCATCAACGCCCATCTCCATCCCCCTCCTCTCAAACTTGTTTCTGTTTCTCAATACTGGTTAACCATCTAGTTTCAAGACTATAACCATGCTTATGGCACAAACAAAATATATCTTTCAGCCTGAGAAACTGCTATTCAGTTGCTGAATGGAGGCCTTAAAACTCATCTTACAAGGACATTAATTAAAGATGGATGAGCCCAGAATAGCTTTCACTGGGCCTGACATGTAGCCTGTCTATCTCCTATTCATCTCTTGCCACTGTCTCAGTCCCCCTCTCATCCTTATCATCCAAGGATATTAGGAAATCCACTGGTATAAAAATCTGCTTTGGTTTCCTGTTGGTAATTACCATGACTTTAGGTTAGCCAAGTTGTCAGTATGGATTAAATTTACAAATTTGCGGCTGTGGGCTCATAATTTATGTGTAGAATTACTTACTATGAATTAATGTAGCTAGTCAAGAACACTAAGTATCTTATTTTCCCATTGATGACTTCTAATATTAAACCAGATATTATATTAAATGTCTCTATTTCATCACAACAGAAACAGATACTCATACTTTACATACCTTAAAAGAGGATATACTGAAAAAGAGACTATTGTTGAATTTCTATTGCAAATTTTCAGCTTTCTGGGGTATTTCACCTTGTGTTCAAGATCAACATCAAATATTTGCATTCCATTTTGTGATGCTTTTCGCACAAAGTAAAGATGCCTTGAAATCCAGTCAATTGTAATAATTGTGATATCAAAAACCAGTGTATCTCGGAAAATCTTAACAATAGGTAGAAAACACAGCCAAGGAGACAGTGGTCATTTTTTTTTTTTTAATTTGAGGACTTTTCTGTAATCTACCGTATTACTTATTTACTGCACTTCTTTGTAATCCAAAACCTCAATAGCTCTGGACTGTGTACCATTGTAACACTGGTCCTCTTCCCACATTGTATTCTTTCTCTTGGTTAATTTCAACTATCATGACTTCAACTATAATTCATAGACCAATGCTACAAGAACAGTAGCAAGATCCCTCATTGAGTTACTGATTCAAACTGACTACTGAACATCTCCATATGAATGACCCCAGAAAACAGAATTCATCACTCCACCCCCAAAACCTTCTTTTCTCCTTTTCTCCTGCATGGTATATTTTTATGGATTTCCAACACTCACCTGAGGAGCAATCCTGACAAATGTGGTTCATCCTTGACTTCTTCCTATCATGACTGCCCATCGTGAATTAGTCCCATTTTAAATATGTCCCAGATTTGTCCTCTCCTTTCTCATCTCACTGCCTCTCACTTCCTGCCTAACATTTCCTCTGGGTTTCTGTGATAGCCTCCTAATTGTCTAAGACTTAACCTTCTCTAAGTCATAATTCACACCACTTATAGAGAGAGGTCTTTCTATAACATAACTTGATCATGTGAATGACCCACTAAGTTTCTTTAATGGCTTGATGTGGTCTTCAGGATTGGCATTCCACACCTTAGCATGGTGAAGGAGGCCCATTATATTGAGGCTCCTGCCTACTTCTCCAGCTTTACCACCTATCCGTCTCTCATCCTCACCCCCATCTCCATTCCAAGCTCACTCTATTTATAGTCTCCTAAACGTGGTACGGCTCTCGTTTCCCTGTCTTTACTCTTACTACCCCCTCAGCTTTTTCCACTTTCACCTGGCTCATCTTCTTTGAACCTAACATGTCTTTCCATTCTACCACCACCATCACCACTCCAACCTGGATTGATCACCCATTTTCTGTGATACCACCACATCCTGCCCTCAGCATAGCACAATACTGTCTTCTGTCTGTCTGCTCTATTCAGTGAATACCACCACATTCCTGGCATCATGTTCAGTGCCTCACCTAGATTATCTCATTTAATCTTCACAGGAGTCCTATGACCAGATACCACATAATCAGTAGTTAAATAACTTTTTGAGGGTCAGATTTAGTAAGTGGTGAAGCCAGAATTAAATTCTAAATTTCAGATCCCAAATCTCACCCCTTAATAGCTACAGGACTGTCTTCCTAGTGTTAGACTAATACCTAACTGGGTTTGTTCAAGGACTGTGATTTTTTTTTCTTCTATCCCAAGAACTAACACAGTGCCTTATACCAAATAACTATTTACTGAATTAGTCCTGAATGACATTTGCCCAAAATCTAATCTCTATTCATTTGTGACTAAATAAGTATACAACATCTGTCCTCTTCAACCATTCTTATCTTAATGGCTCAACCACTGACCAATCATTTTAATTACAGGGTAGTGTGATATGCAAACTATCCACATCCTTCCTTCCAGAATATTTACATAGTGAAATACCTCAGAAGTGGACCTGTTGTGCATGTTCAGAAGGCAGAGTGAGTCTCCTTGAGCATAATAGCCCATTCCATCATCAGCTGTATAGCCCACGCTACTGATGTCTCTTTCTGTTGAGAACGTCCAAACAATTTGACTTTGATCCATATCTAATAGAACTATCTTGCTGTCAAAAAGAGTTATGAGGTATGGAAATGGGCTAATTTCTGAAAATAAGAAACAAAACACTTATAATATGTATAAGGGAAAAAAAACAACAAAACAAAACTTTGGTTTGGCAAAATCCCCTGATTCACTAGAAGGCTATTCTGAAATCCATAGGTTTCCTCTGGGTTCATCTACTGTTCCAGTCTCAGTCAACACTATCCAGGCGCCCTATGCTTAGGTTTATTTAAGTGTGTTCAGTGATGATAAAAATTTATTATTTGACTTGAACTTCAGCTCAGAGACAGCTTCATATCCCTGAGAATACCAACAGTCAAGAATGTTTTTTAGGTAACAAATACCTGATGTTTTGGACTTTACTATGTCAGAAAATGGCCCAGGTCCTTTGGATGTGAAGACTCGAACCTAAAGAAAGAAAAGGATACCAAAAAAATTGCATTCAATGGTGTCCTCGATGAAAATAATTACATTCTGAGACTGATAGATTATTGAAGCTTTCATTTCACAATTCTGATATCGATTATGAAGTTTCTTTTTTTCAAGTTTTTATTTAAATTCCAGTGAGTTAACATACAGTGTAATATTAGTTCCAGGAGTAGAATTTAATGATCCATTACTTACATACAACACCCGGTGTTTATCACGAGTGTCCTCCTTTGTACCCATCATGCATGTAGCCCATCCCCACCTACCTCCCCTCCAGCAACTCTCAGTCTGTCCTCTGTAGATAAGAGTCTCTTATGTTTTGCCTCCCTCTTTTTTTCCCCCTTCCCGTATGTTAATCTGTTTTGTTCTTAAATTCCACATATGAGTGAATTCATACAGAATTTGTCTTTCTCTGACTGAATAGTTTCAAACAGTTACTTCCATCTGAGTATAAAGCAACAAATCACTAAGAGGTAAATATTGCCTCACATTCATGCTTGTGGTTTGTTTTTTATTGTTGTTGTTGTTGTTGTTGTCTAAAAGAGTACAAAATAATGGCACAAATCTCCACTGCAAAAGATTTGAATTTCTAAGAAAGGTTTTTAGCTATTTTCACAATTAAATTATGTAGAACATTTTACAGAAACAAAACTATGCATATTATGGTAAACTTCCACTTACTGTGAAATAAACAAGTGGAAGCTTTAAATAACTAAATTTACTATACTTTTAAAAAAGGAGATTTAGAAAAGGAAAATAATCATTAAAACTTATATTTGAAAAAAAGTTGTGCATCTCAAACCACTTTTACATACATTATCTCTTTTGATCCTCATGACTACTAAGAGCAGAAACTGGACAAAATCACAATTAAAGATAAGTAACTCATCCACAATGACACATGCAAAAACCGGCATAAAAATCATGTCTTCTGAGGGTCATATACTTTCTTCCCACAGTGCTGCCCTGCATCCTAGTACCAAAGCTTTTTAAAAACAGTTTTTATTACATGTCTTTTATTGTGTAATAAATTATTTCCATTTCCAAACCTTGCATATGTACAACAGCCTATAAAGAAAATTGACATCCGTAATGATGGACCCAAAGGGTAGATCCTCAAGTGCCCTCTCGATCAACAAACCATTAGATTATTTTTATTATACTTCTAGTGTTAAATATATTTTACCATATCATACATACTAATATCTGTATATGGTGTGTGTGTGTGTGTGTGTGTGTGTGTATCATGGTACATACATATACCAAGATGTCTTCACTTTTGCACAAGACCATGTTAAGTGAAGCTCATGCATATCCATGTATATCACTTTGCATGGTCCTGTGGTGACTGAGATCTGAAACTCTATGTACATATAGACAGATAAAATTAACCAAGATATTTATTTAATCAGAATACACATAATTCTTAACAAATAGGAATGTGTATCATCTTTAACTTATATATACAACTTTTTTGATTCATATAGGTAAACCTAATATATTAATAAAATATTTATTAAATTAGGATTTTACAAAAAGAAAATAGATCCTTAGGAGGCTCAAATCTCTAAAACATTCCCCAAAGCCTTATGTTCCCCAAAAAGAGTTGGAAAATAGTTCTAAGTGTGTACAACATTGTCACCAACTTGCTATTTAATGAAGATATGAAAATCATCAAGCCGTCTATCGTAAGTAGAAAGCTATTTCACATCAAAGTTAAAATGCACAAATGGGGTGTCAGTAGCGTTTTATTCTTGACTCCTATTCTCTCTCACTTTCTCCTCTATCGGCTACCAGACAGTAACTTTGAGATGTCAACTACCTGGCCCCTCAGTTTTTATTTCCATTGGTAGCTCCAAGTTGGGGCATCCAGAGGATTCACAATAGTGATGTGATCTGGTGGAAAGGACTCTAGGAGTTGGACTATAGCACACCACTTCCTAGCCACGCAGCATTAGTAACTCACTGATACACCCAGGGACATGGCTTTTTCTTCACTGACCATAAGAGGATCAAATGAAATAAGGAATATAAAAGCATCCTCCGTGGTACATGGCCTATAGTGATCTCGGGAAAAAATAATGGTCTGTTCTGAGTCTGAAAGCCAGGAAGTTGTCAAGATGTCCTTTACCTTAGCTGTCCCCTCTCCCCTCTGTATTCCTTGATACCCACTTGACTTCCATGATCACAGTGGACCTCAAATTATTGACACAGTGGCTGAATTCTTAACCTAGTCCTTTAATCAACCTTCTGTTTGCACCGTTGAGACCCTCGTCTGTTTTCACTCTTACCTGGAAGGCGACAGTGTACCCAGGACTCATGCGTTCAAGCTGAAAAGACATCTCCGAGGGAGCTGCATTGATAGCGATCCAGTCTTCGAAAGTTTCATTTGTGTCTGTCTGGTTGGATATTTGGTAGAAAATTTCAAATCTTGTAAACACACCATTTTCATGCTTGGGCTTATTCCATCGAAATTCCACCACAACTTCATTCTGGTTACGGTATTTTCCGCTTGGTAATACAAATATCCTGGGGTTCTGTGGTGCCGACGGAACTGCAAAGCAGAGACACAGATAGGGTAGACAAGAATAAAAGGTTGACTTTTTACCATTCATGGTGAGGGTGTGGAGAAACTTAGTAATAAGTACTTCTCATTCCAGACCACTGAAGTGCATCTATCTTTTTCTTAAAGATCTTCAGGAGAGAATATTCCACAGATTTCTTCAGGAACCTATCCTGATATTTCAGCAAATCTTTCTTATCTTCAACCCAAATACTTCTTGCCAGGACTTAGGTCCATCTTTCTCATCTGCACCCTGTATGGATGGAGGGTGGCTGGCTCTCCTTATAAAATACAATAGTTACTCTCATCCTGACACAGTGATTCAGCTGGTGGTGGAAATGGCTGTCACAGGAAGCAAGGCAGGAACTCGGTCCAGCCTTCAGCCAGTTCAGGATGTAACATGAAGCATATCACGGATCCAGGCACTCTCACCTTGAACCCTCCCCGGCAGGGAGTACCCCCCAAGAGTATGGTTTGTGGTTACCATTAATCCTAGAGTCAAACCAAGAATTTAGTCTCTCCCAGTCCTTCAACGAATTTCTCTTCCTCTTAATCAAGAGAAATTCCTCTGCCTGATGTCTATGTCATTTCATCCAAGATGCCTGTCTTCTTTCTTCAGACTCCTCTACGAGGTACCCCCCCGCTCCACTCTCCACTCTAATTGCATCGCTGCTCGATGTTCGACACTCACATCATAATACAATCTCCAGGCCTGCTTATGCTGTGCTCACATGGGATACCTTTTCTTGCATCATTCCTCAGAGCCCAGCTAGAATTCCCCCTCCCCAAAGGCCTTCAGTGGCCATACCAGTCCATGAGCACTGCGCTCTCCTAAGAGTGCGGGGGCTGCTTGGTATAGATGAAGCTTTCCATCTTGTCTATTTGCTCTATGTCATTGCAGCTCAGTTCCCACGGCCTCATTTCTACTACCACTGGAAGCATGTGTTTATCTCTACTGTTTTATGAGCTCCATGAGAGAAAGCACATGTTCTTATTCTTTGTTAAATCCCCTCAAATCTAGTATAGGACTGGCACACAGGAAGTGCTTAATAAAGATTTGTCAATCAGAATAATTTCCCGACTATACTGTAAATTTCCTGAAGGCAAAGGCTAGATCTTTTCTTTTCTTTTTATTTTATTGCCCCCAACATCCAGCAGAGTGCTGATGACTTTAGCCCCCAGTGCATCCCCTGACAGATGCAGACAAAGCCATTTCCACAGAAGAGTCCGACCACAGCTGACATCCCAAGACGATCTCAAAGAGAGCATACCTGGATCCAAATGCTAACTGCTCCAGAACCTGCCCAGGCTCCACTATGTTCCTGTTATGAGACTCATGGATAAATATCATTGAAAGAATCTTAGCAGTTAAAAAACCACAGTGGTGAATGGATGTCTATGCTTACTGAGCTCTTACCACCTGCCAGGTCCTGTGCTAATAAGTTGATATTAAACAAATCAATATGATACTATCCTTGACCACCATTTGCAGAAATGACTGAATGGAGATTTCATCAAACTACAGTGAAAAGTCTGGATTAAGTCCCAGCCCTGCCACTTAACTAGCTATGTGACATTGGGCAGCCACTGGGCTTCTGCTTTCTCATTTGCATAGTTGAGATAGTAACACCTGTCCTACCTTCCTCAGAGCAGGGTGAGGGTCAAATGAAAGGATGAAATGATGTTTCTGACACATGATAAGTATGCAATAAATGTTTAATAAAGGAGTGATACATATAAATGTGCTTTGCACATTTTATAGCGATATGCATGTAAAAATATGACTAGTATCCTTTTTAAAATATATACCAAAGAGAAACGTTAAATTTAGACATCAGTTATTCACCTATGGAAGATTCTGAGCTACCATGATGGGAACATCTACTGACATGCCTGCCTTCCATGAAATTGTCTCTGCCGTTATATTCCCTTTTTCCTTATCAAGGGTTTCACAAATTTCCTGAAACAGGTTTCTGCATCAGATATATTATGATAATCAAGTGAAACAGTCTCTAAGAAATCCTTGAAATATGCTTTTGGAATAAATTATGCAGATTTATTTTAATGGTGCTATTCTAATCTCTGAAAAGTCATTGAAAGGGTCTTGAATCTAAACACATCTACAAAACTGACAGTTATTTTTAAAAATTATTAGCTATTTATTCTAGATCATGGAAAGTGAGGTTCTACCTTTTGTAAAAGAGATTCTGACCCATGTACCTGTTTCAGGTGCTCGAAGTGACAGAGATGTTTTGGGGCCTTTTCCCCAGTACGTATAAGGAGTGACAGAGAGATTAAAGAAGGCATAAGGCTCCAGCCCTTCCACAGTAAATACCGGTAAAAGCTGTTGTTCACTAGCCAGGAACTAAAATATAAGAACAAAACATTATTTTCTTAGTGAGGGAATCATAAAATCCTTTACTCCTAATTAACTAAAATCCCAAACTCCGGTTCACATGTAAAGTCAAAATGTGCAATTTTGGAAACGCTAATGTTGGTAAGGTCCATGTGGCTCCCCATAAACCAGTTAAAATGTATCTAACAAACCAGTTGTTACCACTAGCCACAAAATGGTCAGAGACTGGCTATAAACAAGGGTTCTCAGGAAAAATCTTAATAACCAAATGCTACGGGAACAACAAAGGAAATCGACGGGCTTGGCTAAATGAAGGAAGCACAGATCAGTGCAGGCAGGGCTGACGCAGATGGTACAGACTGCTTGAAAAGTGGAAGCTACTAGAACCAACACTATACCTTAGAATGAGAACTGAATTCCACACTGTAGAAAATTACACCCCAATCCACTGCAGGGGGAGCATTCCACAGGATTTGAAAACTTGAAGCATTCCCTTCGATTCTAAATGAAGACTCTTGAACAGAATCTGGGATGACCTTGGGGGTAATGGAAAAGTTGCCTGTGGGATGAAAAGAAAGAATAGAGGGGGAAAGAATTTAAGATTCTCAATCATCATAGAAAACATGGAAAATTAATAGAAATTACTAATAATTGGTACCAAAACAAAGTTTACCTTTCCTTGAATATATCCTGAAATTTTTCTTTTTCTGACTGTTACATGCTGCAAATTTGGGTTAAGAGTGAACTGACTGCAAGCAAACCAATGGAAACTACTAAAGCCTTTTTCTTTTAAAAACATAATTATTAAGAAAAAATCCCACCCAAACATTTATTTAACAAAAAGTTTGGAGGAGAGAGGGTAAGCAGGAATAAAATCTTGTACCTGGCAGAGGCTTGAGGGACGTCTGAATAATCGTGAACTGATTAAATTTGGCTGGTTCCAAAACAGAGACACTGGCTCTCTGACTTATTTCCTGAGCTGTGATAATCCTAAAGCCATTGATCCAGAAGAGTCGACCACTATAGTACATCAGTGTATTCTGGGAAATTTCTGAAGTACTCCAGGCTGCAAATTCTGTGATGTTGGTCTCCCCAGAGCTGCGAAGACATGGCACCAATTACCATGTGTACCTGAAGTGGGGGGGAAGGGCTGGTACACGCCAGTACTGGAGAGATTATGTGTTTGTGAGAGTGTGTGTTTGTGTATACAAGAACAAAAATCACTATCAATAATAACAATAGAACATTATCAATAATCATTGTTATTTTTAGTTCCATAGAAAGTTGATTTTTTACATTTTTGTTCAAGTATACCTAAAGCAAATTTTCTAGGACTTTTCTTCTTAATGTGATATTGCAATGGCAAGAGGATACACAGATTTTAACAAATACTTTTGGTTCTTGGAAGTACCCTGAATATTGACTGCTTTCTCCTCACTGAGCCGTGCCTCCCTCCTATACTTGGTTAGTCACCTTCCTTATTTGCCATTCATCATTCTAGCCTGTTTGGTCCTTTACTTTATACTACTCACAACCGTTGCTTCAGTGATACTTATTAAGCTCTTCAGCTTATTCAAAATGCTTCTTTTCAGACTGGGGGATTCAAGTTAACAGACTATTACTTAAATTGATTTTACAGTTTTTTCTCGATGACAGAATTTTACAATGATTTTTATTTAAAAATCTGCTTAGTGGTTTCTCAGATTACTCCAGTTGCCTAGTACTCAATAAATAGAAACTATCTCAATGATGTTCAGCCTTTTGAAGCAGTGGTTTGACTTTTTTTTTGATGATTTCTCTGAAGCTTTTTAGAGTGTTGACATGTCCCTCTTTAGAAAAGTATGAGGTATGGCATTTAAAATGAAAATACATAAAAATTTTGATTTGTAGGGGCGCCTGGGTGGCTCAGTCGTTAAGCATCTGCCTTCGGCTCAGGTCATGATTCCAGGGTCCTGGGATCGAGCCCCGCATCGGGCTCCCTGCTCGGCCGGGGGCCTGCTTCTCCCTCTCCCACTCCCCCTGCTTGTGTTCCCCTCTCTCGCTGTGTCTCTCTCTGTCAAATAAATAAAATCTAAAAAAAAAAAAAAAATTTTGATTTGTAAATTTCACAATACCTCCTTAACAAAACTGAAACTACCTAAGAGGACCATAACTGGGAATTGGGAACCTTATAAAGAAGTATATTCACGAAGACTATTTCCATCATCCTTTTTCTAGTAAAATACTCTATTCATACCAACACAGCTCTGAAGACAGTATCTGATTCGCCTTTCGGACTTTCACCTACTTGTCTAATTTTACACCTTGTTATTTCTATTTCTCATTAGAACTTTCCAGTAACCTTGTGAAATACATAAAACCAAACTCCAAATGGAAGGAACCTCACCAAGCAGGATGCACTTGGTCTGAAGAGGCTAGCCTCTCCTGGAGCACCCACAGAGCCCCCGCAGCCTGTATCCTGTGAACACGTTTGTGTTAGTTTTGCTCACCAGGTTGTTCGTTTCAACATTCCCCAAATAGTCTCCAGGGCAGAGGATTTCCCCGTGGGGTGAGACTGGATATCCCTTAGTTGCTACTGGCTTGGATTGCCCCTCATTTCCAGCTGAAGACTCCTCCCCTGTAAAAATCTCCTGAGCTAACCAGAAAATTCTTGACCTCCAAAGTTCACAGCACAACTTCTGCAAAACCTCTTCACTTTCAGGAGGTCAGTATGGGGCTTCCTTCCATGTGGAATTTTAAACCCTTCAGCCCTCAGCAATAGGTGAGACTGGATTTAAGTCAAAGCTCAACAAAAAAGTCGTAAAAAGACCAACTCTTCCATGATGCTATGAAGTTGTGTATAGAGGTCAGCTGAGGTTACTAGGCTGAGGGTTCACTCATTTACTCATTCATTCAACAAATGTTCTGTGCCTACTTCTGTGTTAGCCACCAGGAATGCAATGGTAAATAAGACAAATACAATCCCTGCCCTCATAGAATACACAGGCTAGCAGAAAAGGCAGTCTGGTAGAAGATGAGCAAACAATGACACTGCTGAACATCACTGTAAGAAGAAAGGTAGAGTGGATTCCTTAACAAGGAGACCTACTGGAGTCTGGTCAGAAAAAGTGCTTCTTAAAGAACAGTGTTTAAACTGAGCCATGCAGACGGAATACCAGTTAACCAAAGGAACTGAGTCTGTGTCTTAAAATGTATTTGTCGAAACTGATACACTGGAATACCGAAAATCTGAGCATCTCGTATTATGTATATTACACCTAATTTTATTTTATTTTTTTGAAGATTTTATTTATTTATTTGTTACAGAGAGAGAGAGAGAGAGAGGCAGGCAAAGAGAGAAGCAGACTCCCCGCTGAGCAAGGAGCCTGATGTGGGGCTGGAGCCCAGGACCCTGGGATCATGACCTGAACCGAAGGCAGACGCTTAACAACTGAGCCACCCAGGCATCCCTACACCTAATTTTAAAAAGCAAAAATGTGTAAAAAAAAAAAAAAAAGTATAGGAAAAATACTAGGAAAAAAAAACCACGAACAACCCCAACAGCACTATTACGGAAGACATGGTGATGCCGAGAGAACTGGGGGCTTAGTTTGAGGACACAGATTGAGAGAATAATTCATGTGCTTCTTTCCACTCCAGTTTTCATGTGTGCCAGACAGGATGATTTCTGCCTAACTCCATCATGTACACTCTGCTTTGTTAAGAAGAGGAAAAAACACATCTATCCATTTCCTGAGCTCTCGAGAAGCATTCTTCTCAGTGTCTTCACCGTACTGTCTTTCTACCCCATCACAGGATTCACCATATTCCACTGTAAGTAGTTGTTTATAAACCTATCTTACCCCACAAGCACAATGCCTGCAGGAACAGTGGGTAATTGGTAAATGTTTATTGGAAGAATAAATGAATTTCCATGCATTATCACATAACTGAGGGGGTAAGTCGTTCTCATTCTTAACCAATTGTTTTCAAGGGCGATTACTCACCTCTGCCCCCGAAGAACAGCTGCATACAGGTGAATACATTGACTGTCTTGAACCAACCAATACAGGAGCCCATCGCTAAGGTCTAAAGTTAAAGCAATTACCTAAATAGAAAATAAGGTAAGAAAATGAATCAAATACATGTTTGGAGGATACCTTTGTGAATAAGTCACACTTAGGCCATAGAGTTCTCTTTAACATCCTCTTTGGAATAATAAACTCAGTGATTTTTACCTTTCACTGAATATCAAAATTACATGAGTGTGCCTGTTGCTATGCAATTTGGATATAGACGCTGGTTTCCTAAAAATCCTCAAGAGGCAGGGATTCTTGGACCCGCAGCATCAGCATCACCTGGAAACTTAACACAAATTCTCAGCCACATTTCAGGTCCTACTGAATCAGGAACTTTGAGCCACTATGTCAAGCCTTGCCTAAAGCTAGCCATAACTTTGGACTCTGGCCACATCAGTCAATGAATTTCATTGTTGTTTAAATCTGTTGTTCTCAAACATGGATGCACATCAGAATCACCTGTTGAGTTCTTTAAACCACCCCTCTCAATTCCCAGAGTGCCTCCTATTAAATTATAATCTCTGGAGATGGAACCCAGTTTCCAGTGTGTTTTCAAATTCTGCAGATAATTTTATTATGTCATCAAGCTTGAGAACCAATGTCTTAAGCCATTTTAAATTATATTTTCTGTTAATTACAACCAAAATGTCCTGACACATTTAAAAAATATAATACACACAGGGTTTTTATGTGTTATAATTAAATAGAGTCATGTACATATAAAGTTCTATTTCCAACTAACATCTGAAAACCACTCCTTACTAATCTTCCCTCGTCTTCTTGTCACGGTGCCTGTCTTAATTTTATGTCCAGTTGTCTAGGTGAGGCCTGAGGAAAGTCTGCTTCTCCTATGACATAGACTACATGGATAGAAGTTACAACCCAAAGGAACACTTTTGCTTTCTTTGGCGTTAGAGGTAATTTTCAAATAAGCTGAGATTGCCAGGTGCCTGACCTCAGTGATGGACTGTTTCTAGAGCAGACCTAGAGGCTAAGAGGGATCAAGGATTAAAGTTGACGACTACATCTTTAACAAGACACTGCAGCAGAAAAACAAAAATGATGAGCCAGTGAGAAGCGTAAAAAAGAATACAGCAAGCTATCCAAGAACTAAAAATTCTTGCTGACGGGTGCCCCAAGGCCTGCTACAAAGGCACGTCACTGTAAGAAGCTCCAGCTATCATACACATCACAGCCTGCTGTCTTCAAGGAAACTCAACCTACTCCTTTCCCACAAAATAAAAATAAATAAATAAATATACACTATTCTAGCGATCCCCAGCCCTTGGGCAGTGGTATCATGGCCTTGCCTCAGGCTAAAAGAAATGTACTGACTATTGTTTCAGTTAAAGTGAAATCGGGTTAATCTTGTTTGGTTATTTATAATGAGATGCACTCGAGTTTTCCAAATTATGAAGTCTCTTTTATCTCTTAGAAAAGAATATTTTACAACTCCCTGCTCTGGAATACAACAAACTATTTGAGCTGTAAGTAAAATTCAGGTGTTGGTTACTGCATTCCTTTGCATCAGTCATTTGGGCCCACATTTAAACAGAACCAGAGGATGTTCCATAAGTCTTTGGTAACCATTGTTATGTCTAATAACGCCCATGCCTTGGAAATAATGCCTTTGATCGAAACTAAAAGCTTGAGGTTTAATCCTGTGGTAAAATGTACTATGTACTAGGAGCCCACCCAATCCATCTGATGTGGCAAAGGGTATCTGTTCACTTTAGATGAATATCTCACAGCATTCTCCCTTTGAATCACATAAAAATTGGGTCTTTCTCTAAGGAATTGGCTGACTACTTTATTAAATATCTGTTGATTGCAAAGTATCTCATGACTCCATGATAAATCTATGAGTAACATATGAAGGAATGACAGTGAAATGGAGAGTTTTGCGCAGTGCAAAATGCGTTACCTTCAAAACACCCGCTAGCTTTAATGGAAGCAGATGGGTAAGACATCAAACCATGGACCCAGAACTCAGATTTGTACAGGCAGCAACACTCACCAGCCCGTGAGAGGATTTGGTGTGGGGATTTAAGGAATGGTGTGTTTCCCCAAACATGCTGAGTAATCTAATTTTTCACTCATTTTCAGGAAAGTCCCCAGGGCCGCTACAGAACTTTCCTGAGTAAATATGTCTCAAATGACCAGATTGGAGCAGTGAGGGAGATTACTGACAAAGCCCCAGAAATAGATAGAACGTTACTCCTGAGATAATATTATCTTTAACATGCTTTTACAAAAATAAAAGTGCTTTGCCCTAACACTTACTACTGAGACATAAAAAATATACTCTCCTGTATTCAGACTCAAGTGGCTCCAAAGTAGAATTAAGGGATGTTTTCATGATTTGACAGGAATGATTAATCTCTGGATATGTGTATAAGTCTTTATTTCTTTTAAATATCTGTGCTATGATCTGTATATGCAAATAAGGTCTTTGAAATACCCTAGGAATTACAGCCCACATATCCTGAAATTGGAGATCATGTGACTCACAATTTGTTTACACATGATCTGGTATATCTATATTATGTGTATTTTACCTTTATTGGCAGATAAAAAAATGATTAAAAAAATAAAAATTTTAAGGCATATCTTAGGTTGAAATAGTATGAATGTTTTATTTCTTTTTCATGATTTTCTGTGATTTCTAAATTCCTACAGCAAACATATATTACCATTATGATCAGGAAACACAAAATTCAGATATTTTGATGAATAACTACAGGGTCTCAAGAATATAGGTATTGTTTCTAGAAGTTGAGGATCAAGAAAAATATGTATTGCTTCTAGAATTTGAGGATCAAGAAAATGGAAGTAATGTGTTTAGATATATTCCTGTATTAGGTGTGTTTTTCAGATTTAGTTACGGTGATAAGAACTTAACTAGTGAGTGGTTACCGTGTGCCTGGAACTATTCTCCGTACCTCCCATGAATTATCTCATTTAATCTTTGCAACAGCCCTAAGAGGTAGGACAATTGCTAATATTCCCATTTCTCAGATAAGGAAATAGACAAAGAGAAGTCAAATACTTTGCCTAGGAGTCACACAGTTGTTAGACCAGTCAGTACCCAAAATTGATCGAATATAATAAAACATCTAAGCAATCTGTATCCAAAATTGATGGAAAATAATAAAGCATCTAATTATTACCCAACAAGAAGCTGTAAAATATTCAATACAATTCCTAAGGACTCTAAAAACAGTCAGAAATTAAAATGCTTTTAGGTGCGGGTCCATTCAAGATAAAGCAAATTACAAAATTCTCCATATTGTGTTTAAACTTATTTAATCCATTATGACAATCAAAAGAGACTTAGAGAAATTTTGGTTATGCCGACATCCTGACAGATTTCCTTTCAGATTCTACCAGAAACAGCATTGTCATAACTATACAGTAGCACTACTTAATATTCGTAAATGATCAGATCTTATATTTAATTCATCACCTTTTTCCCAGAAATCCAAGGCTGTGCCTGTAGTACCAGGAAACTTTCTCCATTTAGCCTGGTACTTTCCACTGAGTAGAGTGTGGTCCAATAGAGATAACCTCCAACTGAATCCACCACCATGTCATTCACCAACAACTTCACATGAGTCACAATGTCTGTGTGCCCTGTCAACAGAGACTGCCTTTGTATCTATAAAACATAATTATAGGGTCGGTTAATAATTTTCACATGACATGGTTATTTCTGAGTAGTTTTTTGCGATCATTAGTAAATTGCTGCATTCATCCAGGCACGAATATTTATTAGCACTATGTGCTGGGTAGTGTGCAAACCCTTGGGAGCATAATAGTCATGGGGAACACCCTCATGGAGCTCATCTCTTTTCATGACTCTAGAAAAAAGGGAGGCGAATTGATTTTGAGTTAAAATACTTACTTTGCCTAATCATACAACCAGACAATTGAAACACTGCTAGATAAGAATGCACTGGATTGGACTCTTGAGGAGATGTACACATCCTGATAAGTGATGACCTCTCTCCTTGCTCATCTCTATCAGTATATTTCTCTGATATTAAGTCTGCCATTACTGCGTACCTATTATGTATCAGGCAGTGTATGTTTTTATCTTTAAAATATTAGCTTTTGTAACCCTAACATTATAAAGGATTTCTATCACAGGTTAACTGGGTTCAAAGAAGCTAAGTAATTTTTCCTGGAGTTAAGCAGTTTTGTTAGAGATAGAGCAAATACTTGAAAGCAGTTTTTACATCTACTCTTCCACTTCCTCCTTCAAAACTATTTTTAAACTAATCCATTTCAGGGAGTATTCTCAGATTTACCCCACTCAACTCCATTCCACCCGGATAACATTGGCACTTAAGAATTCAGGCTACACCACCTTGCTTCGTCTCTAAACACATTGCTTTGTATGCTTCTTCTATTATTGTATATAGGTATTTCATCTCATCAAAAGAACAAGGACAAGTAGCAGTGGTTTACACAACACTGAACATACTAAAAAACTGTACTTTATACAATAAAAGGGTGAATTTTGTTGTATGTGAATTGTATCTCATAAAGTTGAATTTTTTAAAACAGATACATGTCTACTATTTACTTTATATTCCCTACTATGCCTATCCTCATGGCTCTCAACACATTGGTAATAGATAAATGATTGTTGAATGAATAAATGAATGGACAATTCGTGCCCTCCTGATTAGAAAATGGTTCCAGTACCATATTTCTGGATCTGTCAGACCAGTATTCTCATCATTAACCATCCTTCTCTTCGAAGGGTACCACTACACAGATGTGCAGGATGTCTTCATTTTGCATCCAGCTACACTTGCCCCCCACTCTGCCTGACTCTGTGTGCCCGGCGCCTGGTGCTACAGGCTGCATCAGCCGGACTCATTCTCTGGCTTCCAGTGACATTCAGCCAATGGAAGCACTGGCAGAAGATCAGAGGGCAGAAAGAAAGAAGGATCGGGGTCCTTATAGCCCCAGGTCGCTCCTTGGAAGACCGTACCTTCTGACAGTGGCTGGGTTTCATGTCAGCAGCTTCTTTTGTTTTTTTTTTTTAGATTTTATTTTATTTATTTATTTGAGAGAGAGACAACATGAGAGGGGAGAGGATCAGAGGGAGAAGCAGACTCCCCGCTGAGCAGGGAGCCCGATGTGGGACTCGATCCCGGGACTCCAGGATTATGACCTGAGCCGAAGGCAGTCGCTCAACCAGCTGAGCCACCCAGGCGCCCCTTTGTCAGCAGCTTCTATAGCTATAGCCCTCCCCAGATTCTTCCCCTACAGCCCCTTGCCCTCATATGCCTGAAGGTGGTTATATCTTCCCACACTTACTAGCCCCGGCCATGCTTTACCATCCTTTGCTCATTTTCCTTAGCCCTCTCCACACCTTTGAAAATAGTCCCTTCATTGGGTTTCCTTTAATCATGCCTTTGGAGTGTGTCATCTTCCTCCAGGACACTGACCCTCAGATGAACATTTTCATATATTTAAGATATTATTGAAAATCTAGAACTAGTGTACCAAACAGCGACATAAAGCTTCCTTTACATATAAATCCCTTTTAATTAAAAAGTGAGTAGGTTTGGGTGCCTGGGTGGCTCATATGGTTAAGCATCTGCCTTCGGCTCAGGTCATGATCCCAGACTCCTGGGATCGAGTCCCGCATCGGGCTCCCTGCTCAGCGGGGAGCCTGCTTCTCCCTCTGCCTCTCTCTCTCTCTCTCTCTCATGAATAAATAAATAAAAATCTTTTTAAAAAAGTGAGTAGGTTTGAGGACAAATATTAAATAACAGCATAGGCGGTATACAAGTATGAAAAAAAAAGTCATGAAAATGACATGTAAGTCACTGGAGGGTGGGTATTGTGCTAGAGCATCCAGAATGCTGAGATTTAACTTACCACATATGTCTTTCCAGCCCAGTAGAGAAATTGACCCAGCCAATCAAAAGCTAGAGCGCCTGCTCCTGCAATGTTGGATATGTGATAATTTTCTGAGATATCCGTCCCATTCAGCAGCCACACGTAAACATCACCTTTCATATCGCTGTAGTAGAGGCTGTTGTTATACCAATCCATGTCTCAAAACAAAGTGAATTGGTAGCAGTTATTTCTCATGCATGCCAGCGTAAACGTGGTGAGTCAACAAATCACACATGCACCTCCATATACTTTCAGAGTGCATACTAACATGATATTCATTAGAACTTCAGGGATCTGTCAAGAATGTTTCAATAATGTTCTCTCAACATCTCAACCCCTGGGACTAGGGAGAGGGATTAATATTCACTGAGACCCTCCCTTTTGCCAAACATTGTCCCGGGTACTTAACAGATATCACTTAAATCTGATAACAAAGGTTTAAAAAGGGATTATCCCCATTTTTGACTTGGTGAACCTGAGACCTCAGTGAGATTATCTATTCTGCCCAAGGCCTCACAGATGAAAACGGTAGGAGCCCAGACTGAAGACAACTCCAAAGCATAATTCTTTCTACTATGACCACACTACCTCCTAAGTCCAAGTCCTACGTTGGTCAGAAATGCTGCTGTACTTTCAGTGGCCCAGCGAATATAACAACTAATTCACATAACTATAGGAGATGTCATCTGCATGTAGGCTCACTGGGGCACCACCTCACAATGAAGACTTTCCTTCATCCTAAGGTCTTCTAGGCAAAATTACCCACTTATTACTTAATAATGCTCTTTGTCAAGAAATTATTTCTTCCAATTTACTTAGAACTTCGTGCAACCATTCCTTGCGTCAGTCTTACAGCAAACGTAGTAAGTTACCGAAGTATAGCTATGTTAGGTTCGGAACCAGGTAGGCTGTTATCTCGAGATAACATTGAGAGGTTCAAATATAGGAGAACTATATCAAAGCCTTACTGAAATGGGCATAAATCAACAAATAGCCTCACATTTTGTGAACTAATAAATAACACCCCTACTGGAGAACTGACATTTTCTTAATGGCATCACTGGCATCGTAGTTCAGTCCATGTTTTTTTCCTTTCATTATTGACCTACTACCAAAACGTTCAATTCTTTGGATGTATTGAGGAGCTTAGGAATTCTTACATGTAGAAACCTGACACCCAAGTGAACAAGGATTTGGTGTTTACCTGACACATTTCCTATATCAGAGGATAAGAATGTTCCTGGGCCAAAGCTATTCAGTGGCTTACTCCAAAGACCATCTTCTTTCACAGCCATGATAAATGGTGGTTCTGAAGCTGTTTGGTGAAAAGAAATTAAAAGAAATATCACAGAAAACACATGTTTTAAGGTACACATCTTATACCCTAAGATTTCCTTTATAAAGTAAAAGACTATCGATATTTAAAAAATACCATGGAAGGATATGAGTGATTACATCTGCTTAACAGAATTATCTATCATGTTAAACGTATTTCCTGATTCTTACATAAGTAATTGAAGCTGAATGTGAAGAGAAATGTGTGGTGATGCTGCCTCTTAGCAATGTCATGGTCATGGCACGATCTCCCCTCCCCGTTGGCTATTGGTTGCCACGATTTCATGCCGAGCACCCAGAAGTCATCATGGTAACAAGAGCAGTATAAATGGTATAATTCTCTTTCCATGTTCTTTCAGCCAAGAGGGTGGAGTTCAGCATAATTCACAGACCCTCAACTTCTCTCACCATGACCGTCAGAGTTCAAGGGCTATTATTGCTTCATAAACCATGAGAAAGAAGAAAGCCATAAAGAAGAGGAAAATTACATCGTTTCCTCAAAAATATCTTGAAAAGGTTAAGATAACAATTTAGAAACGTAAGTTAAATATCACACAATGCTCTATTTGCTTTCTTCATCCAGATAATAAACACATACTCCAAGAAATCCATGCATCCTCATTCCAGTTTCTTTACCACATTGGAGTTGAGGACCTCTTAAGGACACAGGGAATAAACCTATGTTGTCAGAATTACTCCCTAAATCAAGAACATGTTCTCACCTGGCACCAGGGTAGTACCCACCGAAGGCTCTGACCAAGGGCCTGGCCCTTTGGGAGAACTGGCTCTCACAGAAACCTTGTATTTCGTAGCACTCTGCAGCTCAGACACATGAAGCACGGTCCCACTGATGTTCGAGAAAACGTGAGTGATTTCAGGAAAGTCTTGGGTTGATACTTTCACCTCATAAATCCAGTTCTGCCAGGCAGAAGGGCCTAATCAGAAAAGTTAAACCGTATTACTCACCAGGATGAGACAGGCAAGGGCAAACAAAAGGTTGTCAGTGAATTCATCTACAGCTTCATCTTGAGTAGAAGGGTAATTGGGCAGTAAAACATGCTACCCCTCACTAGTCATCAGGGTTGGTCTGACGATACGACTAGGACACCGTCCATTCCAGCCATGCCATAGTTTGTGCTCCATCAAAGGAGACATCATTTCCAACAAATCAGAGTCAAAGCTACACGTGGGCTGCATAAAATTATCAGAGGCGTGTCAAATAACACCCCAGGTGTAACCAGCCTCCTAATAAACAAATGTTTAATGATGAATCTTTAATATAACTCTCAGTGTTTGTACAGTATCTTCCTTCTAGAAGCCCAAACTATACAAAACCAAACAACAACAACAAAAACTGCCTCTAGAGCAGTGGAAATATACAGCAAATAAGCATAATTAGCTTTGTCTTCAAGTCAAAAATAGCCCATGTTTGCTAAATACGCTAGGACCAGGAGTTGGCAAACGACAGCCCACAGGCCAAATCTGGCCCACTGCCTGTTTTTGTATATAAAATTGTACTGGAATGGCACAGTTCCTCATTTACATATAATCTAGGGATGTTTACACACTGCAACGAGAGACTTGAGTAGTTGCGACAGAGACCATATGGCCCACAGAGCTGAGCATATGTACTATCTAGCTTTTCCTTTATAGAAGAAGTTTGCCGACCTCTGTGCTAGATACTGTGCTAAGTGTTCTAATGATGCATCTTAATTCATTCTGTGTGACAATCCGAATGAAAGATATAATTAACGCTCCCCTTTTCTAGGAGTGAAAACCAATGCACGGAGCAGTTAAGTAATATGCCCAGGATCATTCTACTAATAACTGACAAGACCAGCCTTTGAACCCATGCAGGCTGGCTCCAGAGCCCACCTGCTTACCCTCCACACACACTGCCTGTCCGGAGACGGAAGTTCAAGTTCAGAGAGTTTTAGGAAGTTGCTCTGATTCATGCAAGGTCTGGATGGATACAAATCTCAACCCACCTGCACTATCCCTCTGGCTACCATATTCACTCAGACCAGAATGTCAGTGCCTGGCTCTCGGTAGACACTCAGTAAATGTTCCAACTATTGTGTTGGGATATACACAAGAAATATAGAGATGTTCCTAGTGCAAAACCAATAAACGCCGAACAGATGTCTAAGCACTTTTTCTGGAGCTAAATAGCACTTCTGGTTGATGACTGAATAATCACATACAGGTTCTCAAAATTGAGTCATGATGTCAAGCAATTCAAACTTTCCTCCTTCCAGCAACACTGGGCAGGGGGCACTCACTGGCTCCAATGGCGAAGGCAGGGGGCTTCCACTGAACCAGGGCCTGGTGGGAGCCAAAGAGCACGGAGAGCTGCTGTGGGCGGCCTGGCAGGGGGTGCGGCTGAGCGTAGGAGCTGAAGATGACCAGGTTACCAAAGCCAAACTCTTCTATGTGACTCAGGTCACATCCCACGATGAACTCATTAAAAGACAGAGAGTCCTGCTGGAAAATGGCCTTGCCATCTGTGACAAGGAAGTCATTGTTTTCACAAGCAAAGCTCTTCACATCAGCAAAGGAGACATGAGCTAGGACAAGATGGGAAGCAGAGCCGTCCAGAAATGTTGACATGAAGACATGAGCGGTGTCATTGAAGTAAATGATTCGTTTGGACTGTGGCTTCACTGCAAAGTCCTTTAGTGTGCAACTCTCCACAATATGTAGGGCTTCTGAGTCCCAACCAGATGGCACGGGGAGATCTACTCTATAAATGCCGTCTTTCAGGAGATAAAAGACATACCTGACATGGGATCAAAAGAAACCTGGTGTTATCCACTGCAACCTGCTTTGTCCTGTGATGCTATCAGAACCATAGTTCTCACCAGTCGCTAAGCACTGGGTGTCCCAAGGTACACAAGGGTAAAGGTACTTACTAAAGCTATGTACTATTCATTTAAGTTAGAAGCTGGAACATTGGAAAATTTCAGCCTCGCTTACAATGCTTTGTCTTTCAATTATATATGTGACTATAAGGAATCAGAATTTAAGAGCAGAAAGGGTCTTTCAGATTTTCTAATGAAGCCTACTTTTAAAGGAAAGCATAGTATATAAAAATGACATGGCTAGGGCGCCTGGGTGGCTCAGTTGGTTAAGCGATTGCCTTCGGCTCAGGTCATGATCCTGGAGTCCCTGGATCGAGTCCCGCATCGGGCTCCCCGCTCGGCAGGGAGCCTGCTTCTCCCTCTGACCCTCCCCCCTCTCATGTGCTCTCTCTCTCTCATTCTGTCTGTCTCAAATAAATAAATAAAATCTTTAAAAAAAAAAATGACATGGCTAAACATGTTATTTATTGAAAACACTTTCCTCCAAAATGCACATATTCTTCAATCTAATTCTTTCTATACATTTTCCCATGCTTTGTGAAGGATAAAATAGAAGAAAGCAAAAACGTTTAACCTATTTTTAAAACCACTTATTATTTCGCTATAAATATCTAGCAAAACTACCTTGCATTTTGTAGTGGACTAGGTTTTTTTTTTTAATATTTATAGTTAAGTGGGACAATAGAGCTACCATTTTATAAATCATGAAGAAATATCCCACAAGACAGCAAAACAGCTGGGATGGACCACCCAGCAGTTAGAAGAAGCCAGTGGAAGAATTTTGTAAAATAAACCACCTAATTTGGAGCCAAATCTCATGGTAATAGTACATGTGGATTTTTAATAATGAAACAGAAAACACCACCAAAATATTTCATTGATAAACCAAATCTACAAATAGAATTTTAACTAAAACATAAAACTGTTAATTTGGATGAAGCTAATTTAGAATTTGTGATCATGGAGACAGATGCTAACACAAGTACACTTCTGCTGGGGCATCTGGGGGCTCAGTCAGTTAAGCATCTGACTCTTAATTTTGGTCAGAGTCATGAGATCAAGCCCTGAGTTGGGCTCCACATCGGGCACGGAGACTGCTTAAGATTCTCTCTCTCCCTCTCCCTTTGCCCCAGCCCATCCCTCTCTTCCTCTCTCAAAAAAAAAAAAAAAGAAAAGAAAAGTATACTTCTGCTTAGCAAATCTTTCTTATCACAGCCCCATGGATTGACAGGATTCCAACCTCTCATCACAACTGTCAAATTATTTTCCTTGTCCTATTCAGTTCCACCCTTGTTCTCCTTGATGACTGTTCCAAATCTTTATCAATATGCTCGACCCCTGTGCTACAATAATATCCTGAAATATAAACTCCATGTTGAGATGTGAACCTATGTTCTTTTTCTTAAGAGAGGGTTGTAGCAGGCAAAAAGCAGAAACAACTTGGCTCTTAACTTTCTGCTTTAGTTTCCCAAGTTCAAAGCTATTAATGGAACATAGAGGGACTTCAGAGTAGACAAGAGGAAGAAGATTTGGGGTGAAGATTACAATCCTTGGGCTGCAGCAGAGAGAGGACAGGTGTTTAACCCTCGTTGCCACTTTGGAGGGTAAAGAAAGGAGAGGGAAGGTGCACAGAGCCAGGCTGCGGAGGGAAGAGGGCAGAGGTGAGAAGGAGAAGAAGCAGGGTAGGGGAAGAAGGGAAGAGGTTTAGAGTAAGTACAAACTCAGTGAGTGAATAATTCAATGGTGCAAAATAACAGCAGAGAGGAAACCACTTCTAATGCCAGGAGAATAAGTGATTCACACATCTGGCATTCCTTAGGGACACTATATACAAAGTGCTGCTAAAAGGTATATGCTGATTTTTACAGAAACGCTATTGGTGTAGGAGATGATTAGAAGACAGGCCCTGGAAGACAAATACTGGCTCCACAGCAAAAGAGCTGCGTGATCTTGAGCAATTACTAAGCTGTGTTTACTTTCCGATCCATAAAGCTGAGATAATAAAAGTACCTACTTCATACAGTTGAACAAGAATTAAATGAATTTTTGGAAGTAATACACTTAGAGGCACCAATTAATATTATCATTATCATTTCTAGTCACATTTCAAAATCTAAGCACAAATCAATTTTATCTAATGGAATAAAGAGCCACCAGAGACTTCACTGGGATGCATTCTGAGTGACTGATTGAGGGGGTGAAGTTTATTATCCTTGTTATATTTATTATATGTAATATTATAAATATATTTACTATTATTTATTTAGTGGGTTAAGTTTATTTATAAAATGAGTCATTTTGGGTAAATGCCAGCAGCAAAGTTCCATCTCATAGGATCTTACACTTTTACAAATGAGAAAAATAAGATCCAGGGAGTCCAAAGGACTCACCCTACAATGCAGTGTTTGTAAAACATATTCTTGAATCAGTAATTCATGCAAACTTAAGTATCAAGACAAAATAAGACAAAGTAAGACAAAATAAGTACCTAGTGAATTATGAATGAATGTCAATAGAAAACTTGATTTCAGAGCAATAATGAGCAACCTTTTTTTTTTTTAAGATCAATTCATTGGGGCACCTGGGAGGTTCAGTCAGTTAAGCGTCTGCCTTTGGCTCAGGTCATGATCCCAGGGTTTTGGGATCGAGCTCTGCGTCGGGCTCCCTGCTGAGTGGGGAGCCTGCTTCTCCCTCTCCCTCCGCCTCTCCCCCCCAGCTTCTGCACTCTCTCTCTCTCTCTCAAATAAATAAATAAAATCTTCTAAAAAAAAAAGATCAATTCATGAAAAATAAAAAATGTCATGGGCTATATATATATATTTTTTTCATTCAAAAGGAAAACAATTTTATCTGACAGGAAAGAAAAAAACTTCATCTTATAAACTTGGCCTTGCTTATTAGCTATCATTCTCTGGTCACATTTGAGAAATAATATCGCCAAAATAATTTTCTGTGTTTTCATCCTTCACATTTATGTATATTTGGAGATCACACAATATATTCACAGGGAATACTTCATTTCATCCTCAAAATAACACAACTGGGCAAGCATTGTTATGTTCCACATACGAACAGACAAAGGAAAAGTCACAGGCACAGTTACTTGCTCCAAGTCAGACCGCAATTTAAGCAGGACAGCTGAGCTAAAATGAGTCCATTTTATTTGGCGGGGGGGGAATAGTTATTTAAAATGGGAAATTTTCACTTGTTATTAACCATCAACACCTAAGTCCGAAGATGGGCAAAAGCAGCGTTCTTGGTAACCAGCCGCCTCTGAGAGGTCTGAGGACAGGACCAGGGAAATGAACTGGTGCTGAATTGCTCAGCAAAAGAAACAGTAAAATGGAAGGAGGAGTCACAGGCAGGAAGGACTCCATGGGGAGCACCGAGGAGGCAATGAGACCCGGAGTCATGCCATAAAATAATGACAACTCCAGGACTGGAACCTAGATCCCTGAGACCCAGAGAAGAGATCTTTCCCACCTACCCATATTTTACTGTGAAGGAGAGGAAAATCTACTCAACTTGAGA